AGATAGGAGACGGAAAAAGAGAGCAAAACAGAGTTCGCGTGCCACACACAAACAATTCTTCAGGAGAGTTCTGGTCAAAAAACCCACAAAAATAGAGTATGCGCCCCGTACTCCCCCGTCCACCGCCAGCCCGTCTTATCATGTGGGACCGTCTGGGCCTGGCCAAAAGGGAAGAAGTGGGCTAGAAAAAGAAATCGAAGCGGAGTGGAGTGGAGTGCTCGAGTGCGCAGCGTGTGAAGTTCATTAACATTTTCGTTAATTGCGAAATGCCGCGACGCCGTGTGGCGACAAAACGCAACGCGACACTGCTGCAAGCAGCAATTAAAAAAGGGCACTATGACACCCGGAAAGCTCACAGAACACAACACAAACAACACACACCTGCTGATAGCAAACGTCGTAGTGTGCCGCTGGCGGTTGGGCGTAGAAATTCAAATTGCTGAAGTTTGGAATTGGCACAAAATCGCTATTGCTATTGTTGTTATAAGCACACGCGTTGCTATTTTGATTGTGGTTCGGAATTTGCGGGTTCTTTCTATTGTTATGGTTGAGGAATATCGTCGCCTGCGTTGTTTGACCGTTCGCGTAGCTTGCGTTTTGCACTATTTCCCCGATTCCGGTAGCAGCGGCGATCTGCTGTGCGCTGGCGTCTTTAGTCTTCGGCGAATCACCGTTAAATAAAGCCCCGACGCCGGCATGCTGTCCCCTAGAGCTGGAATTTGTTTACATTCATTTAATCGATAGATAAGAGCTTTCGATACACGATCTCGATTTGTTATCGACCTCGACCGTGAACCACCAAAAATCGTCAAGAGAGGCGCAAACATAAACCGGTTTTTAAATAATATAACAACTCCGAATACTGTGTGAGAGCGTAAAGTGCTTCAGTTGGGTTTCATCTCTTTATTAATAAAAAAAAATGCATTTATAAATATATTTATTCTGGCCCCAAAAGTATGCAACTATCTAAGCTTAATTTAACGGGTTTGTCTACAACTGAAGAAAGTCTTAAACTATTTGAATGAATAACTGTCTAAAAACTATGTAACATTTATTATATACTTAACATGTTCCTACATTTTTTATTATAATAAAAATTGGAAAAGTCACATAGAAACTATATAAGCTTAATTCTTTTTCAAAGAATTTGATAAGGAAAACATTTTATTAGTCACCAAACCACTAATCAAAATATATTTGATTTCCTCTATATAGACGCTTATTAAGATAAAATATGAATAAATATACATAAACCCTTTTTGGATAACAGTTTTAAGACTAAAAATCAAGCAAGAAAATGAATCATTTCTTAAACCCAGCAACACACCCAGACGACTGAAGAAATGCAAACAATTCTGGTAAATATTTGGCATATTTTGGGATTGCTTTTGGCAATGCCTTTTTAATTCCACTCGAGCCACCCCGGCCCCTTATTAGCCTCGCCCCCCCGAATGCAAAACCAAAAAGCCGACACAAATGCACAACGACGGCCGGCCAGACAAGTGAATGAGCCAAACAAATGGGGCTGACAGTCGGCGACCTTCTCAATATGGTTAGAATCGTTAATTTTAGCCAAATGAGTCAAAGCAAGTAGCAAACAACCGGCTATGATCGATGGCAGATCGATGCCTGGGGACTTGGAAATAGTGTTTATTTTGGCAGCAAGTCCTTCAACATATTTCACAAGGGAACTTGATACTATTTCTGTATTTTCCAAATATGGAAAGAAATAATATACATAAGTTAGTTTACTTTATGGCGCGTGCAATAAAAAATAGATCTAAGATTAGGGAAAAACTTTTCCATGACTCTCAAGTAAAGAAACGATTTATTATGTTTGCCCAACTGCTTATTTTGGCACGTTTCTTTTCAAATACAAGCATTTGTGTCAATATTTAGTACTATATTAAATAAAACGTAAGAGCTTAGTACTATAAAATGTCTACACAGTTTCAAGAAAGTAACAGTTTGTAAAGAAAGCAACCAAAATGAAGTTTATCGCTACCCTCTTACTTCTCTGTGCCTTGTTTGCATTCACCAATGCTGCCACATCCTCATCTCCAAGCGAATCGGATTACGATGATGCTTCAACAACTACTACTAGTGCTCCTTCCACCGCTGTTCCTCCATGTGGCGGACCACAAGGACCCAATGGACCCTGCGGCAGCAAATTGTACTATTTTTTCAAGTAGTTACTTAGACGATGTTACTAAAATAAAAAAAATGTGAAGCTAACAAGTATTTTTGAAGAAATTATGGCGGCATGGGGTTTGATCCAAACATACATAGTTGCCTTAAAGATTTATTGTATGTTACAATATTGTAATGTTACAAATAACATAAGTTTTGCAAAAGTGGACTACCTTAAACGTTTTCTAGATCGATTCTCCACCATTCTGCATCAAAATAAAGAGACAAAATATTTTTTAGATTTTTTGTCCATTTTTCGTGATGGGATCCCTTGAAAATGGGGTTTTCCCCTATGTGCCCCACCGTGATGGCTATATCTTCCCCAATCCTGATCCGATTCTCAAGCGGAGTACCTTCAACGATTTCTAGATCGATTCTCCACCATTCTGCATCAAAATCCTGAGACAAAATATTTTTTAGATTTTTTGTCCATTTTTCGTGATGGGATCCCTTGAAAATGGGGTTTTCCCCTATATGCCCCACCGTGATGGCTATATCTTCCCCAATCCTGATCCGATTCTCAAGCGGACAACCTTAAACGATTTCTAGGTTGATTCTCCACCATTCTGCATCAAAATCCTGAGACAAAATATTTTTTAGATGTTTTGTCCATTTTTCGTGATGGTATCCCTTGAGTATGGGATTTTCCCCTATGTGGCCCACAGTGATGGCTATATCTTCACCAATTCTGATCCGATTCTCAAGCGGAGTACCTTAAACGATTTCTAGATTGATTCTCCACCATTCTGCATCAAAACCCTGAGACAAAATATTTTTTAGAATTTTTTTTCTCCTTCACTGCGTTGCACACTTTTTACTAAATTTATAATACCCTCTGCAAGGGTATAAAAATAATTATAAAGAACTGCCTTGAACGGAAAGTTTAATGACAACATCAATAGACAGACAAACACATTTGCAAAAATGAATTTACTTAGAACTCTGTGCCTAGCTAAATATTTTTTCGCTTAAAATTTAAATGAAGATTCATTGTGAATTTAAAATCAATACATCTGTTTAAATACCAAAAATATTCAGGGAACAGTATAAAAGCGCATAACTTCGGACTAATATCATTCGATTTTCAAAAATTTTGTTAACATGAAGTTCTTCTCGACCTTTCTGCTTCTCTGTGCCCTGGTTGGATTTATAGCTACGGCTTCTTCACAATCGAGTCCAGGTACAACCGAGCCCGTTACACCTACTCCAATGGATCCGGCTGCACCTGATACTACTACCTCAGCTCCAGCTCCATGTTGCGGGAAAAAAATGTATTTCTTCTACTAAAAAAGTGAAAAACTTGTATGACGAAAATTTAATGGATTAAATGCTTGTATAAATATTTAAAAAACTGTTTACTTTTAGTTTAGAAAGATTTATCTCGCGTAGGTGGAAAAACAATTGTGTCAATAATAGAGTGATGCCGATGGATAGTATAAAATCGCGATTAAAGTATCCACAACATCATTCCCTTGAGAAATCTACCAACATGAAGTTCTCCGCTGTCCTTTTGCTTCTGTGCGCCTTGATTGGATACACCATAGCGACTTCTTCGACCACAGCCACAACGGAAGCCATCACCACAACATCCACTTCTGGGCCAGTTTCTCCTCCATGTGGAGGACCCCAAGGACCCTGTGGTCAGCTTCCCCAAATTCCTCCCTGTGCTGGTGGAGCCGGTGGACCTTGCGCTAAGAAATTGTACTTTTTTTATTAAAAAAAAAGTTGAATAAATTAGTTTGAAAATAATTTAAGAAGATGCTTTTTATTATAAAATGAGATTCTCCACATTTTTTAACTAGTTTTGTTTTTTAAAATGTACCCAACTAATGATGGTTTTTACTTTCCATCACATTCGAAACAGACTGACAAAAGACAGACTGACAGACTGGAAAAAAGAACTCTGTGTCAACTAAATAATATTTAAAAAACCATCTGGATATAAGCTTCTAGGCATGTACATAACGAATTTTTTTCCAAACAATATAATACAAAATTCTAATATTGTACAACGTGATTTATTTCAGCTTGTTATATTAAATAGAATTTGAGCAATTGTGCCAATATTATTAGAGCCATATTAGATTCCACATTTTATGATAATCGCACTGATTCTGCACCCTAAAAACAAAGTTATTATCAAAAAGTTTTTTCCATTTATTTATTTATTATTTAATATTATATTCACTTCATAGGTTCGGAGATGTTTCATTCACTGTGTTGCACATTTTTGACTAAAATTATAATACTCTCTGAAAAGGGTATATGGTAAAACAAACAGACTTTGAAAACTTTGAAACTTTTGAAAAAATAATTTTTGCTTAGAACTCTGTGCTTATGCAAATATGATTAGATTCTTTACGAATATAAATTCAATACATCTGTTTCAATACCAAACATCCTCAGGGAAGAGTAAAAAATCGCATTATTTCAGACTCAAATCATTAGTTTTTCAAAGAATTTGTTAAGATGAAGTTCTTTTCGACTCTTCTGCTTCTGTGTGCCCTGGCCTACAGATCCAGCCCCACCTGAACCCGCTACACCTACTGTTCCATCTGATCCGGCTACACCTGATACTAATACCTCTGCTCCAGAAGCAACGCTATGTTGCAGAAAAAATTGTATTTCTTCTATTAAAAATTTGAAAAACTTGTATGGGAAATATACATATAATGCTTATATAAATATTTGAAGAACTGTTTAATTTTTTTATTATAAAGATTTATCTCGCGTAAAAACAATTGTGTCAATAATGGAGTGATGGATAAAGAAAGTATAAAATCGCGTTTATTGTATTCCTTGCATTATTCCCTTGGCAGCCCTACCAACATGAAGTGCTTTGCTGTCCTTTTGATTTTGTGCGCCTTGATTGGGTTCTCTAAGTCCGATTCCACATGGGCCACATCCACGGAAGCCTGGACCACAACCACGGAAGCTATCACCACCACAGCTGCTCCAGTCGCTCCTCCATGTGGAGGACCCCAAGGACCCTGTGGTGGTCAGCTTCCCCAAATTCCCCCCTGTGCTGGTGGAACCGGTGGTCCTTGCGCCAAAAAATTGTATTTCTTTTATTAAAAAAAGGCTAATAAAATAATTTGAAAATAACTAAGCATTATGATTTTTTATTAAACGATACGCTGTATATTTTTACATAGTTTTAATTTTTTTAATTGTACCCAACTCTTTTTCCTCTATAGCTTATTTGTCATAATATTTGTCCCCACCTTTAAGTAAAAAACTCTGTATCTACAAAATAATAATTTTCTCCAAAGTGGGATTTTTGAATAAAAAGGTCAACTCCTATGCCAGTATTAAACAAATTTTTCCGAAACACTACAATGATTGTTCAAACTTCTAATATTGTATCACCTGGTTTACCTTCGATTCAATAGAACTCAAGCAATTGTGTCAACTAGACACAAGATCTTTAGACTAGATCTTAGATGCACTAGATCTTTAGACTCAAAACAAAGTTATTATCACGAAGTAGTTTCCTTCGTTTTTGTCCTGTTTTGCTTTAAAAGGATTGCTACCAGCTGAGGTTATTTAGGAGGAGGTTTTCCTAATTTCCCCACTTTTGATCCTTCCGGTGGCGACAGCTCTGCCAATTTGTATCCGATCAGGAAATAGGATTAGGAAACCCAGAAGCAAACTTATTCAAAACATCGCCTAAATAGTGTTTTTTATAAATTGTAAAATTAAAAATAAAATTGTTGGTTTTCCTAATTTTTTAATGACAGCAAGTCCTTTGCCTCTATTTTGTCATCTGCCTGTTATATGTATGGTAGATACACTTTCCGTTCTTGGACAGGAACCTATACTAGAACATTTGCACAGGGACCTCTCTGAGGTCAAGTTAACGGAAATAAATTTTATTTTTTTTACTTAATTTTACTTAATTAAATTGTTTTTTTTTTATGAAAAGAATAGTCTGAAAGATCGAGTCTCTGTTTAACTTCTTTCTATGCCGAAATCTCGAAAAAATCTAAAGATAATAACAATGGTTTATCAAATGAAAAGGGGTTGTAACAGTATTTGTTTATAGTGCCTGTGCAGTTCCATTTTATTGTTTAAAACAGTTCTAAAAATATTCCGCAAACAGTGTGAAATCACTTGTGTTAATATTTGGCTAAGATAAAAGTATAAAAACACAATCTTGTGACACCAAAATCAGACTTGCTCTTTAAACCTGATATCATGAAGTTCTTTTCTGTCCTTCTGCTCATAAGTGCCTTGGTTGCCTTAGCTACAGCTTCCACATCTTCCTCCGGAAGTGGGACATTTTCGACAACCGAGGAAGCTACAACAACTACAACTGTACCTCCATGTGGAGGACCCCAAGGACCCTGTGGCTCAGCAATTCCGCAACCTCCTTGTGCTGGTGGAACGTGCGGAAAAAAGCTTTATTTCTTTTACTAAAATAATAGATAAATAAATCTTGAGACAAGACCCAACATTTGTAAAGTATTTTATTTGGGAAGCGGACCAATATTAGCAAAAGATATGAATATCTCGCAATAGGTGGAATATCGCAAAGGTGGAATATATTGGTTTTCCGGTCATGCCACAAGTTTTTATAGAGATTCCTTCGGAAAAAAAGTGATAAAACAAAGTACAAACAATTTTGTTTTTAGATTTTTGCCAGGACTAATAGAAAATTAAAATACAAAGCGTTTAAGCATTCCAAGAATCGGGTGTTTTGTGTAGACATATATATATGTACATATATAAGACACTTAAGAAGTGTCAAGAAGTATTACATGGGGAGTACCTAGTGAAAAACTTGATAAAAAAATATATATTGAAAATTTTGTTCTTATATTTTGATCGAATTTAATGAATCAAAATAAGAAGCTGTTAGGGCAATTCAACAAAGAATAGGATGAAAATAAGCAAAAATATAAGCTTTTAACACGCCTATATTTTCAAAATACGGTTTAAGCTTTAAAGGCTTGAAGATTGGTAGTTTAATAGCTATCCAAATATGTGATAAATGCGAACTTTCACTTAATGTTTGGCCCTAACACGTGTCTTCACGTTTAATTTTAAAAATAGTCTAATATTTGTACAGCTGTGTGTATTTTTGGTGTGTCAATAAGTTACAAGAAAAGGTTTACACTAAAATGATATAAAATCCCCAAATTAATTCGGCATTTTGCCAGTTCCAATTGAAAATTAACAAGATGAAGTTCATTGCTATTCTCCTGTTCTTGTGTGCCATAATGAGTTTTGGATCTCAGATCTCAGCAGAAACCCCAACAACGACCGAATCCTGGAACTTTGATTCTACAACTACTACTGATTCTTCTGATACGACTGATTCGCCTGTCTTGCCTCCCAGTGGTAGCAAAGTTCCCTGTGATGGAAAGAAATTGTACTTTTTTTATTGAAAAAAAAAACTAAATAAATAAAAAAAAACTTGCTTTAAATTATGGTTTGGAAACCTTCACTACATTCCCCAAGGAAATGTGCTACTTTCCACAAATATCTAAATATGGAGAGTCCACCTTAGATTAGGATTTCCATATATGGATACAATCCACTCGAAATCGGGCCAAAAACGGCGACAACGAATATGTACGTGAGGCGCCACTTGCATCGCCACATTGGTGCATGAATCAGCCACCCGACGAACGCCGCCAATGAAATGCTAAATAAATTTTCACTTCCATTTTAATTAATTTGAATTTATTTGAAACTAAAATTACACCCAACATTTACACAACGAAGGCGCATTCGACTAAAAATAAATTCCCAAATATTTTGTTTTTATGAAAAGGTAATGAAAGCCACATGTCCTCCAATCGGCGCTATACACTCGAACGTGAAAACCGCAATGGAAATTTGTAGGGGGTTTTTGTGGATGAAGATTGGGTGTGATAAGGGCATCCCACTCACTTTTCTGGAAGCCATTATATTGATGGATTTCTGTTGAATGATCTCGAGTCGTAATACTTTGGTAAATGTTTAATACTGATCACTTTTGATTGCCTGCTAATTACACAATGCCTGGCAAAGTGAGCACGTTTTTCTTTAAAAACACAACACACCAACACCCGCACTAAAGCTATCGTATATGTTTAAAATATAAACAAATTTTGACGAAATTTTCTTTTTCAAAATATATATTCTGCACGAGCTACTCGCGTTCTGTTCTGTAGTTCTTCAGATCTTCACGAAGGTGTACTTGTACTCGTATCCGTATTTTGAATCGTACTGGCGGCGACAATTTTTCAACTCAACTGAGTTGTGTGCGCCTCCTTGCTCAAAGTTTTTATGCCAAAACGCGCTCAGCTTGTTTTCCAATTTCTTTATTATTATATTCTCAGAAAAGAACCGAACAGGCAAGGATGGATTTTTAGGTTTATAAACTAAAACCTGTTTTTTGATTGAGAGTTTAAAAATGAAATCATACTTTTAACGTTGGAAGTATTCGGCATTAGGTCATGTTTCAAATTAATATTTTTTTGGTTTAAAAATGTATACTACAAATTGAAAGTACAAATTAGCTTACAAATTTTTAGACTTTATGATTAAAATGTTTTTTTTTTTAATTTAATGTATTTTTTAAATTATCCCCGACTGTAAAACATCTTCAATACATAATTTGTTCAATATTTATTTTGCTTGATGTTTTGTGTTGTGTTTTTTGGTTTTGCAAATGACGTTGACTTTGACGCTAAAGCTGACGCAGACGCCGACTTCGACGGCGATGTCGACTGCACTCTTGACTCTGTTTGGCGGGTTTTTGGCGGAGCTGACTAGCCCCCATAGAGCCCGCCACCCGTAACCCCACACAGCCCCATCACAAATGTGATTTTCAGCGCGCAGCTGATTTTGTTGTTATTCTATTCATAGAACTATTTGTCTTTTTGTATATTTGGCTGGCCATTCCCGAGAGCATGCCTCGTTGGTTGCCAAGTAGCTTCCACTTTTTCGTTGGTTGCACAAATGCATTCCGTGTTCCCCCACCACATGACTCATCATCTGGCAGCATAGTCTGTCATTAAATAAAAATTAAAAGTCAAGGAATCTGAAATAATTAATCCCCGCAAAGATATATGTACATACATATTTTTTGCGGCTTGTTCGGACTTAGTCTATGACTAATTCGCTCCGGCCAAAATCAGCTGTCATAAATTCTCAGATTTTATTCAACATGGGTCGAAAGACTCTCTCTTCAATGTTTATGTCTGTATGTCTGAACTTTTTTTTACTTTTCATGTCTAGATAAAACATTTCGAGTGCCCATAGCACGCTAAATATATCGTAAATTTTATTTTGATTACGTGATTTCAAAGCTGGATGTTGCTCGGCATTTAATCATAAAATCTGAAGTATTTCCTCGAAACTGAAAAATGTTTAAACTGTCCGCTAGGAATTTCTTCTAATTTAATAACCCAATTCCCATTTTGACATTTTCGCGTGTTAGCTTAAAACTAATTTTATTTGTATTACTTATAATCATTCATGCCATTTGGATTTATTCAACAGCTGCGCTCCGGTTGTTAATGTCCAATATTGCGCATACGCCCCATTGACAGCTAGTAATTTCACGTGCCAGAGCTTTCTTTTCCTGCTCTCGGTTCTTCTCGAAAATAAATGAAATACAATTAACAATATCTCAGCGGGCAGCAAGAAAATGAACAAAAACAAAATGGAATAGATAATGAAACATACATAGATGGGGTTATATTAGGGCTAATTTTTTAGGAGACTCTTAAAAATGTACAAAGGTTAAACAGACGTCCCCTTAGGTATTAAAGAAAAATTTCTCAGGTGCGCCAGAGCGTGCGACTATAGGCTATATTTAGAAATACCATTTCCCATCTGACAGAAAAATGCACTTTACGTTCTCACACAGCTAACAACAATTAATGGCTCTTTTGATCTGGGTCCAGGAAAAATGAAATCCATTTGGTTATTTCAACGCACTGTGGCGCAAATAATTGGAATCTATCACAAAATGGCAACGCCTGGTACGCCATATTTCACACACGAAATATTCACACCAAGCTGCCTCGAGACATGAAATATATTTTGGCTATATGTATTTAATAATAAGTATCTGGTTGTTATGGCCAACTCTTCCGCTGATTTTTCATCACTCGTTCCATATATTCATTTCAACGCGCAATTGGCATTTGCCTTTATTGGAGACATAATTTCACATACTTAGGCATTTTCACTTATTTTTTCCCCTTTGATTGTGCACTAGTTGCGAAATTTCACTTGCTATATATTCATCTATATGTATGCATAGAATTATGAACAACACCCGCGTCTACATATAGTATTCAGATTGCGTATACGCGGCGTATTCCAAACAAAAACCACAAGATCCGCGCACCGCACACGTTCACGTCCAAGTCAATGCAGCAACTGAAAATCTTTTCGAAAACGTCAAGACACAGCCCACAATCGAGTGAGTGTTTTTCGAAACATTTCTTCTATATTTTCTTCAGAGTTGCTGAATGCTGAGCGCAAGTAGAAATATTTTGTTGAATTTCCATGCGCCGTGAGCGATTTGTGTCAGCATTTTTGTGAAAGTCACTCAAAATATGACTAACACCCATGGACGATGTCTGATGTCGAATGTCGGATGTCTGGGCTCTACCTGATTCTATATAGATCAGCATGACACGTGTGGCCCGAAGAGACGTTTCTCACTAGAGCTCTGACATAAATTAGAATGTGACGGGAGGATGAATCAGTTGGACCTTAGTCTGTCTGTCTGCCCGGTCTCTTGGCCAAGATCCAAGAATTTATTATATTCCTGGAGCAATCAAATTGAACAAAAATTGTTTTATGCTAAAATGGGGCCAATATTTATGGCATTTCCCTACTTAATCTTTAGTAGTTTAGACATGTTTATTTTTTGACTTTCTTCAATAAATATTATAAAAATAGGATTTTATTAAACAGTATTTAAATGAAGGGATTAATTTATATAGAAGTAATTGAAAGTTATCCATTTATTAACTGCTGATCCACCTGGCTACACTTGCCATTGCCACTCATCGTCTGCCTTATCCAGTCCCGGTAGTACATAATACTCATAAATATATCGGGGACACCCTTTGCACAGGGCACAAAAAAGTTAAGAATGCCGACCAAAGTTCCCCCGTGAACCAAAGGACCGCCGGAATCGCCATGACAGGCCCCGATGTTTGCTTGTCGATAGGCGCAAACGTGACAAGGACCCAGTTCCAAATCCTCGTAGTCGGTAAGCAGTCCCTTGCAGACTGTGCTGGTGAGGTGTTGCTGTTGCACCTTTTGCAGTTGAGATGGAAGAGTTCCGGCTGCCGACTGGGAACCCCATCCGGTAAAAAGCAGCTCCGAAGATCCTTGGGGAAACGGTGTGTTGGGAAGGTCTACCGCCTGGGTTCGAGCGTCGAAAACAATACTCTGATTTAGGTGTAATAATCCGATATCATTGTGGTACTTGGGAGTGTCGTAGTTGCAGTGCAGGTAGATGGAATCCGGATAGTACACGGCGCCCGGATCCGCATAGCGGTTAGTGCCTGTGGCCACTTGCAGTCTGCTGGCAGGATATCCCTTCACACAATGGCCCGCCGTAAGAATCCAACGCTCGGAAATGATGGCTCCACCACACAGGTGACTGGCTGCCAGGGTTTGCAAGGATATTTGGTAGGGAGCCTCGCCCTCGACGGCATTCTGACCGCCAACTATAAAGTGTTCCTGGGCGAGGACGAACTCAATTAAACCCCAGGCAAAGGAAATAAAAAGTTGAGTAAAAACCCGCGGTAACGCCATCACAGAGCTGCAAGCAAAGACTGGGCTAGTTGGGTTTACCCTGCTCGGTTTTGATTGAACTCCATAAACCGGAATGGCCCGAGCAAAGGTTCCCGCAATCGCGACAATAAACTGATTTTCTCTTTTATCTGATACTCGATAAATGGTCAAGAAATGGTCTGACCATTCACCGGCTGTTCATTAGGCAAACGGGTAGAGAACCATGAAGTTGCCGTTGCTAATTTTTCTGGGAGTCCTTGGAGGACTTGACTCCCCCACCTATGCCATTCGAGTCAAGGGGAACTCTACGGGAAAAGGATTCCTAAAGGATCAGCGGATTATTGGCGGAGAAGATGCCGCCGTGGGATTTGCTCCGTATCAAATATCCTTGCAAGGACTTTCGGGTGCCCACAACTGCGGAGGAGCCATCATTTCCGAAGGATGGGTCCTTACTGCCGCTCATTGTGTGGACGGCGCCGATATACGGATGTTGGTGGTGGTCACTGGCACCAATAAGTACACCCAGCCCGGAGGCAGATACTTTATCGAGTCCATCCACATCCACTGCAACTACGACACTCCCGATATGCACAACGACATCGCCCTGCTGCACTTGCAGGAGCCGATCGAATGGAATGAACTAACCCAGCCGATTCCCTTGCCGTTGGTACCCATGGAGCCGGGTGATGAAGTGATCCTCACCGGCTGGGGATCCACGGTGCTTTGGGGCATAGCCCCCATTGATCTGCAGGTTGTGTACCTCAGATTTGTTCCCCATCTGGAGTGTAAGGGCTTGCTGAGCTACGATCCCGACCTAGATGTGGGTCACATTTGCACTTTTTCGCGACAGGGAGAAGGTGCCTGCCACGGAGATTCTGGTGGACCATTGATCAGCAACGGTTACCTGGTGGGTTTGGTCAACTGGGGTTGGCCCTGCGCCACAGGAGTGCCGGTAAGTGGAGCCATACACAAAGAATTGCAGTATTTCTATTAACAACCCCTTACAACAGGATGCCCACGCCAGTGTCTACTACTATCGGGACTGGATACGCAGTGTCATAAGTGGTAACACCAAATGCGGTGGTTATAGCACCTCCGAATGGCCATAAACCCAGTCCATATTTATAAGGCCACCCAGATAAACTAGCCCTCGATAAGACCCAATTTCAGTTAATAAAGTTTTGTTGGCTTTCAAGTAGTTGTTTTGTGTTCAGTACGTGGCCAAACCTTCGAGATGCAACTGCTCTGGTCAAGTTTCGTGGTGCTCCTGGTTCTCCAGCTCCGGCCCAATCAGGGACAACGAGTGGTGGGACCCTATCCGGATGAGAGAACACCATCCGGTCGCATAAAGGGTGGGGAGGTAGCAGAGCCCGGCTTCGCCCCCTACCAGGTGTCCTTGCAGTCAACCATAGGCTCCCACAGCTGTGGGGGATCGATCCTTAACGAACGCTGGATCCTCACGGCCGGACACTGCGTCCAGAACTACACCCCAGATAGGGTGAACGTGATTACGGGCACCAACCAGTTCAGAGAACCCGGCGCCATATACTACACTGAGGAAATCCACATGCACTGCATGTACGATCAGCCCTACATGCACAACGACATTGCCCTGCTGAAGCTGTCGGAAAACATCACTTTCAACGCCGTGACCCAACCTGTTAACCTTCCCAGCGGGCCCTCAAAGCCCGGCGATGTAATCGTCCTGACTGGATGGGGAGCAGAGACGCCCAATGGTGGCTCTTTGGCCGACCTCAATAAGCTGACTCTGGGCTTCGTGACCTTCGAGGAGTGCTACGCCATCTTCAACCAAACGGCCAACCTTGGAGTGGGTCACATCTGTACCTTTTCACAGGAGGGTGAGGGCTCGTGTCACGGCGACTCCGGCGGCCCACTGGTGAGCAACGGAGCTGTGGTGGGCGTGGTCAACTGGGGACGTCCCTGCGGCATGGGCTATCCAGATGTCCAGGCCAATGTGTACTACTACCTGGACTGGATTCGCAACAAGATTAGCGGAGAGACCAAATGCACTTTCTAAGCAAAATTGTAAAAAATGCATTAAATAAACTTTGAAAACTTACCTATTAAAATAGGGTTTTTAAATAGTTAACTAAAGGATTTTATAATAAGTTGTTCTTGAGCAATTTGTAATTAACGGAAATGGATTATCTGAAAGTTTGGCACTTAAAAACCTATAAAAAAATAAAAAATAGGTTTCATTTAAAATAAATTAAATACAAAGTATAGAAGTGGGTTTCCTGTGAAATATACAGATCTAAAAACGCGGTTTTATAGCGGTTTATTCATAGGAAGAATAAAATAATATTTGGTTTCCAGAGGCTTTTAATTCATTCAAGGTGGAAGAAGCTAGTATACTAATCAAATAGTTTTATCCTAAATTGGTGACATTAAGAGGGTGACATTGTTATCTTACCTAGGTTTCGATTTTTGGATTACCTAATCGATGTATTATAGGTATTATGTCACTTTCGTCACTAGCTCCCGTAGTTACTGGCGTAGCAGTAGCAGGTGCCGCACGGTCCTGATATCATGGTTCGGATCCAGTCCAGGTAAAAGTAGACAGAGGCGTGACTATCCGGGTAGCCGAGGGCACAGGGATAGCCCCAGTTGACGAGTCCGTAGAGAATGCCATTCGACACAAGGGGACCGCCAGAGTCGCCATGACAAGCCCCCTGCCCGCCAGAGGTCAGAGTGCAGACGTGACAGGGTCCGTTCAACGGGTCGTTGGACATGATCGCCTGACAGGTCGGATAGTCCACGTGGGTGAGGTAGGCCTTTTGCAGGACATCGGGTGAGTCGCCCCAGAGCTCGGTGGAACCCCAACCCGTGAGCAACAGAGTAGTTCCATTTGCCAGAGGCTCTGTTGGAAGTTTGGCCGGTTGGGTGTACTCATTGAAGACGATTGGCTCGTTTAACCGGATCATGGCTATGTCGTTGTAGTACGAGGGACTGTTGTAGTTGCAATGGATCCAGTGCTCCTCCACGGTGTACAGGGCATCCGGCTTCTGCCACTCGACCGTTCCAGTGGCCACCCGCAGGTACGTGGGATTGTAACCGTAAACGCAGTGAGCTGCCGTCAGGACATGATACTCGTCCACAATGCATCCCCCGCATATGTGTTCCCCGTACATTCCCTGCAAGGATATTTGGTAAGGTGCCTCTCCCAGGGACGCATTCTCTCCGTTAATCACACGACCTTGGAAGGTGCTGTGCCTCGCCTGTTTAATCCTCTCCTGCTGCTCCTGCGTCAGCTGCACCTGCCGAACTCCACTAGCGGGCCTATGACATCCTAATGTCAGCAGGATCACCAGCAGGACCGTACTCCTTCCGATTCGAGCCATTTTTGCGGCTGTTTGAGTTTCAAAGTGCCAATTAAACCTGCATATGGGTCGTGATTTTGCTTTTATACTCGGAAAATCGCAGTTATATCGTAAGAGTTTTATCGTAAATCGGAATCGGTGTTTCCGAGAGGTATATCTATGTCATAAAAGTCTGTACATCGTAAAGTGATATAGACGTACTCTGATTATGATTTTGTTGCAGGGCAATCAAAGTCATGGACTATAAACTGGACATTGTCAGGAGATATTGGTTTTCAAAGTCAGGGCAGAAGCTAGGAAACTTATACTTTATATTTCAAAAATATTCATCTTCAATTTTTAAATATTTTAACTCTATTCATTAACTCTATTTCCCTCTCTATAACTCTATTTTCAATTAATTTACCAAAATTACTCTGTAATCCCATAGTTGTCTTACTCATGTTATTTTTACAATTGGAATACTTTAAAAAAAATCCCCATATTATTGTTAAATAATAGTATTTCCTACTAAAAAGGTGCACAGCCCTATGAAGCATATCAATGTCTCATGTCATAATGGCAATTTCTGTCGAAAATAGATCCATAAAAACATTAATTGCCGAACTAAAAACAAAGAATGACCACAACCTTCGCCTTTCCCACCGCCATGAGTAAGTGGATATGTTATCAAGTGTCGTGTATTAACGAAAACGATTATATTTTTACAAAATCATCATAATAAACCATAAAATTACTTAAAATCTTAGATGGTATTTCTCTCCAGATCATGTTACCCGATTCTTGCATCCCGATCGAGTTCTCCGAATCCAATCCTGATAGTAAACGGTGTTGGCATGCCTAGGATTAAAAAAGGGGTTTAGCAAAATTACAAATGAGAAACATAAGTTAAGCTCACATATCCGGCATTCCAACGCCACAGGCTCGTCCCCAATTGACCAAACCCACCAGCTTCCCCTCCCACATGATGGGGCCTCCCGAGTCCCCGGAACAGGAACCCTCGCCCTCTTTGGTGAAAGTACAAATGTGGCCTATGTCAATTCCGGTGTGGTAGTCCCAGGCCTCCCGGCACTCCTCATGATCGATGACTGTCAGATTGATGGTCTGCAACTGCTGCACTGTCGGCCAACTGATTTCCGGAGCACCCCAACCCGTAAGAGTGACCGTGGAACCTGCAGGCGGTTGCTCGGAGCTCAGTTCTACGATCTGGGTGCGCTCGTTGAAGATGATCGACTCATTGACGTGGATAAGACCTATATCGTTATTGTACATATAGGGTACATCGTAGAGGCAGTGGACCAGAGCCTCGTCCGGAAAGAGAGTCTGGCCAGGATCGAGGCGATCATTGGTGCCGACTATGATGCGCAGGTCTTCGAGATTAAAGTCTAGGGCACAATGGCCGGCAGTGAGTATCCATTCCTTATCGAGGATGACCCCGCCGCAAATGTGGGTTCTCCAGGTTGTTTGTATGGATACCTGATATGGGGCCACCCCGTCCGCCGCCTCCTGTCCTCCCACAATGCGATTGTCAGAAAGTTTACTAGCCAATCGTTTTCCGTGGATGACGTCAATGGAACTGCCCAATCGGAGGAGGAGAATCCACCAAGCTAATGACAAGAATCGAAGCTCCATGACACGGGTGACACAGAGTCGCGCGAATTAATGGCCAGCAATGGAAAACTGTATGATCCAACTATGAGTTTTTATATGGTTTCCCATATAAACGTATTTTATCGCGGGTTTTTTTTTCCGCTTGACCACCGTCCGAAATCTTTACGACTACAATCTTTATAGTGGCAAGGATAAAACACGACTCGGTATTGGCGGGTCTCGATTTAATTGGACCGCGAAGACCGTAAATGTTGTTGCCCGGAATCTCGGTTTTCTATAAATGCACCGAACCAACATGCCGGCCAGCTCACAATGCCCATGTCCACTTGGAGCTATGAATGTCACTTATCACCTCCGGTTCCCCATAAAGTTTCCATTATCCAAAACGGGGTGATAAGATCTCCCTTGGGTGAGGTGTAATTTTAGTTAGTCCACCAGGGGAATTTCAGTTTCAATTGCACGTCGCAGTCATGAGAACTTGGCTAAGTTTTGTGGGGCTACTGTTGGCCGGATCAGCTCTTTTCTGCTCCTCGGAAGCTATGCGGCTGAGAGGAGAGCCGTATCCGGGTCTGGCGAATTTGAACAGACTAAGGACGAGTGCGATGAGCGCCAGTGGACCTGAGGGTCGTGTGGCTGGAGGCACCGCCCCCGCCACTGGCACCTGGCCCTGGATCGTGTCCATCCAGAACATCTACTCGTACCATATCTGCTGCGGCGTCATTGTGGACAAACGGCATGTGGTCACCGCCGCCAGCTGTGTCTCCGGGCTGAGGGCCAGGAACCTGATCTGCGTCAGCGGCACCAATGACTGGTGGAATCTGACGGCACCCTACTACCAAGTGGAGAAGATCCACACCCACTGCAACTTCGACAAGCCGCTCTACCACAACGATATCGCGCTGCTGCAGCTCTCCGAGGACATTGTGTTCGACAACCTGACTCAGAACATAACCCTGGCGGACATTGACGAGTTGCAGGAAGGCGATGTGCTAACCATGGCTGGGTGGGGCGCCTCCGAGGCTCAGGGCACCTACGAAAGGTACTTGAATCAGGCATCCGGCACGTATCTGCCCGTAGACAAGTGCCGGGACAAGTTGCAGAACCAGGATGATGTGGATCTGGGTCATGTGTGTGTCCAAATGAATGTGGGCCAGGGCGTCTGTCATGGCGACACCGGAGGTCCCCTGATTGACCAGCAAAACCGTCTGGTGGGCATCGGCAATTGGGGCGTTCCCTGTGCTCGTGGCTATCCGGTAAGTAATTGGCTCGAATCGGGCTCCGAACTCTATTCTTAACTCTATTTATTGCCCTTGTTTATGTCCCTAGGATGTTTATGCCAGAGCTGCCTTCTACAACGATTGGATTCGCACCACCATCAACGGGTGTACAATCTCCTAGACATTGGACACGTATTATCTATGCACTGAGGGAAAAAACTTGTATAATAATTCCTCAAATTTTTATGATAAATACAAATAAACAGCTAAAATAAACTTTTCATTTTGTAATTCTTTCTTTTTTACATATCTCAGAACTATACAGAATATGATCGATGTAAAGCAATGTAGAACCACAAGAATATAATCAATAAAAATATTTTAGATATCCCAATGATATGATAAAATGTATTTATATTTCTGATTAATATAAATTGATTCCAAAACCAATAGAACATTTTGTATTAATAAACCTTTTCAATATAATCTAGCCTTTTATCTTTACAAGAATGTTTAGATTTTTGAAAACTATATACCTAGCTTTTTCTATATTTATATCTATTTCTATATCGTTAGTTCTAGATCTATCTCTAACTCTAGTTTCTTATCTAGTTTTTCGTAGACTTTTTTCCAGTGTATCCCCACTCATGATTTCTATCGCTGATTTAATAAAAGTTATGGGATTTTAATGGTTGTGAGAGTTCCTGGGTTTTAAAAGACTGACCATGATTGGAGATTGCACAACCTTTATGGGTCCTCATTAATATCAGGCCAGATACCAAATATCGTAGCTCCAATATCGTATTATAGGAGGTTAGCTGCTTTCTTCAAGAACTGCACTGCAATTAGTCCAACTTGAACTGCTCGTCCAAAATGTCTTGCCAAATCAGAGTCGTGTCTCTGGCTATCCTAGTCCTAGTGCTTGTATCCTCCCTGGAGGCAAACCTCAGGACTCGTACTCTTCCTTCTGGAGTGACCGCATCCGACAAGCAGTTTAGTTCCAGGATCGTTGGCGGAGAGATCTCTGCGGTAACTGCAGCACCCTGGCAGGTTTCATTGCAGAATCCATATGGGTATGTTAATATAACAAGGATCTGAGGAATAAAAAAAAGGGATAAACTTTGAAAAATCCTTAAATTTCAAATCACAAATACAAAGTCAATGAGTTTTATAATCTCTGAAAATATTTTAATTTTTGGGAAACTCTTTCAGAAACCTTTTCTGTGGCGGATGTATTATCCATGACCAGTACGTTCTCACGGCGGCCAGTTGCGTGGTCGGTCTCCGGGAGAGCTATATTAAAGTGGTCACCAGCACTGAAAACAACTGGGGCCTAGCTGGCTGGGAGTACGAAGTGGAGAAGATCATCACCCACTGCAACTTCGACAAGCCCCTGTACCACAACGACATCGCCCTGCTAAAGACCAAAACCCTCTTCGCCTACGACGAGGTAACCCAGAACATAACCCTTGCTCCGCTGGAGGACTTGGTGGAGGGCGAGAAATTGACCATGTACGGCTGGGGCAGCACCGAGATTGGCTCGGACTTCTCCTGGGAGTTGCGTCAACTGGACCTGTCGTATGTGCCGCCCGCGAAGTGCAATGCCACTTACGGCGGCACCTCGGATTTGGACTGGGGCCACCTCTGTGCCGTGGGAAGTGTGGGTGCCGGAGCCTGTCATGGAGATGCGGGAGGATCGCTGGTGGACAGCAAGGGTCGCCTGGTGGGTGTCGGTAACTGGGGCGTGCCCTGTGGATATGGATTCCCCGATGTCTTTGCCCGGGCCAGCTTCTACTACAGTTGGATCGAGTCTACGATTAATGGTTGCACTATTGTTTGAAAAATCAATAAAATGTTGTAAACTTTGTAGTCGGACTTTGATATCAAAAAGGTGAAGAGTCATGATCCCAACAAAAATCAAATGATATTTGATTTCCAACTATACTCCCTAGTTACTCACTACTGCTTAGTTTATGATAAATAATAGTTCGTGGTTTATTTCCCATTCACTTCAGGACAAACAGCACTCAAGATTGAAGATCTTTCGCCAACGATAATCCCCTAAATTATGCCAAAGTCCAATAACCAATGATTTCATATATTTTACTGGAAGTAATAGATTAATGGAATATCTTGATAATCTGTAGACCAGACCTAGACGTCTGCTTGTTGTTGTAATTGGGGAGTGATAAGTGAATGGGAATTCAATTTCTTGGCAACAATAAAATGTCAATGGGTTTTTCGGAAAGGAATATTACCAAAACTTGAAAATTACTAGAAAATATTTGTTTATCAGCTTTGTTTACTATTTGGGCTTTACTATAAATAAATCATTTAATTACTTACTATCTCTTAGTAGCCTCCCATTAATTTCGTAATTATTGATAGTTCTGACACTCTCATATCGATCTCGTATTAGAAGTCCAATGTCCGTACACGCTGTGTATGAGTAATCTGCGAAAGGCGTGTGCTGTCTATCACTCTCGGTCCGAATAGGTTCTGCTCTATGGTCGAGGGGTAGCCCCCTTGGTAATGGCAATTATCATCGCCGAAGCTTCCCCCGAACTCGGCGGCTTATCGCCTGGCCCGCATATTCAAAAGAAACTCTCGGCCAGATAAGAAAAATTTGCGACTATAAAAGCAATTGCGGTGCCGAAATGCGACCAAACGATTGCGGAATACGTAACAAATTAGTTTAAAATTTTATTTTAAAAAACAAAGTCCGACCAAGATGAAGTGGCTCCTGTTGATCAGCCTTGTGGTTATCCTGTCGCAGTGTTCGGGTCGAGGAGTGAAAGTTCAACGCCGCCAGCAATTGAATCATCACCTGGGCACTGTCAAACCTGAGACGAGGGTCATAGGAGGCACCGACGCCGCCACCGGATGGGCTCCCTACCAGGTCTCCATCATGAGCACCTTCGGAGAGCATGTGTGCGGAGGCAGCATCATTGCCCCCCAGTGGATTCTGACGGCTGCCCATTGCATGGAGTGGCCCACCCAGTATCTGAAGATTGTCACCGGCACCAATGACTATACTAAGCCAGGAGCCGAGTACCTGGTGGATGGCGCCAAAATCCATTGTGGACACGACAAACCCGCCTATCACAATGACATAGCCCTGATCCACACAGTCAAACCGATCGTCTACGATTCCCTCACCCAACCCATCCGGTTGGCCAGCAAGGGATCCCTCCCCAAGGTCGGGGATAAGCTCACCCTGACCGGATGGGGCAGCACCAAGACCTGGGGTCGCTATGCCACCCAATTGCAGAGGATCGACCTGCGCTTCATCGAGCACTCCAACTGTGAGTCCAAAGTGCGAAACGCCAACTGGCTGGGTGAAGGACACTTGTGCACGTTCACCCAGGAGGGTGAGGGCTCCTGCCACGGCGACTCTGGCGGTCCTCTGGTGGACGAGAGCGGAGTGCTAGTTGGCGTGGTGAACTGGGGAGAGGCCTGTGCCATCGGTTATCCGGATGTGTTCGGATCTGTGGCCTACTACCACGACTGGATCGAGGAGATGATGACCGAGGCGGGCAAGGCCTGCTAAGATGGAGGTGGGGCCTCAATGTCTTTCGAGGGGGTTCAAAAGCCAAGCCGAACAAACAAAAAAACAAGCAATGTGCCGCACTTATGGCCATTCTATTGCCAAATTGATCAAATTAGCCTGTAGTAAAGTTTTATCACAAAGATATCGTATACTCACTATGTTATTTATGAACAAATAAACCTGCAATTGCGCTTCAATTAGAAGTTAAATTTTATGTCTTCATTTTTTGCCTGCCTTTCTCTGGAAAGCTCTCGAGATACATAGGCCTTACAAGGAAGTCCCCCACTTTCACCTGCCAAGATAGTCCGGTCTGTCACTCATGCTTCTAATCAATCATGATAGGCCGTTCAGAGAAATGATTCACAACAGTGGAGGTTTTTCTAAACAAACAAATATAACGCCACCCATATTCGGAAGTAGGAAGCACTCTCTTATCGCATTTTCAATTGCCCCTTTTTAGATTATTACGTTACTATTAATTGGAATGGCTATCATTTGCCATTTAAGCGAAAACCTTGAGTAACTCTGACTTTATCAAAATTACAACCTTGCGTTCTATTTTGGAAGAATACCCCGTGAGAGCTCTCTATCTATGAGAAGGGCTCTTGACTTTCCCAGCGGGATATTTCCATTGCCAGATAGACCTCCAAACGTGACAAGACTTGGAATTAAAAGCTTACACCTTGATGGTCTTATATAAAATACACCCTCATTGCGAAACTGAACTCAGTTGTTTAACTTCAGAGAGTTACTATGTTGATTTTCGTGTTGCCTTTAATTTTGTGGAGCTCCTGTGCCTTCAGCCAGATCCTATATCCTCCCCAGTACACAACAAACCGCATAGTGGGCGGTGAGGAGGCCGCCGAGGGCGTGGCACCCTACCAGATCTCCCTTCAAGGAGCCTCCAGCGGCTTGCATTCCTGCGGGGGAGCCATCATTGATGAACGATGGGTCATAACGGCAGCCCACTGTACCAGGGGCAAGGAGGCTTCAGCTTTTCGGATCCTGACAGGCACTCAGGACTTGGACAAGAACGTCACCAAGTACTACTACCCGGACAGGATAGTGGAGCACTGCAACTACGCGCCTCGGAAGTACAGAAACGATATAGCTCTGCTCCATCTGAACGAATCGATTTTGTTTGATGACTCCACCAAACCGGTAGAGCTGGATCACGAGGCCTTGGTGCCAGGATCGAAGCTCCTGCTGACCGGTTGGGGTACTCTCTCCTTGGGTGGGAATGTGCCCAATCGCCTCCAGAGCCTGGAGGTCACCTATGTGCCCTACGAACAGTGTCGAGCGGCTCATGACAATAGCACTCGGGTGGACATCGGCCATGTTTGCACATTCAACGATAAAGGACGAGGTGCCTGTCACGGAGACTCGGGAGGTCCTTTGGTGCATAATAGAAAACTAGTGGCTCTTGTCAACTGGGGCATGCCCTGTGCTCGTGGTTATCCAGGTGGGATTCTGTTAACATTGTATATCTCTTTGTTACTACTATTATCTTCCAGATGCCCATGCTTCCATTTCCTACTACCATGACTTTATTCGCACTCACCTGAGTTCTTCTGAAACTGATGGCTTAGATGAAAACACCGAAGAAATGGCCTCAAACAGGGCAAAAGGTCACTGTAATTAAATACTAGATTCCTTCCAATAGTTAGTCCAAGGCAGAAATTAAATGAATCCCAAAAACCCTTAAAATCACATTATTTTTAGTAACAACTGCGTTTTAATACGGCATTCGGTAACAATTACACATCTATGTAATCTCTTAATCCTAGTGGCATGGATGACAGCTAACTAGATCTGGAATCCAGATTCTGGATGTGGGGAGCAATGAAGAATACTTAGAACTGGTTCGCGGGCAGGTAATGAGGACCGATGGGACCTCCACTGACATTGCCGGCTCCATTCTCCACATAATGTCCCTCCGATGGCAACTGCTGTTGTGGCACCTGCTGCTGCTGTTGCTCCTCTTCGTCCTCCTCTTGGGGATCCAGGGAACCCACAACCGAGGTGATAGGTGCTACACCCTCGTCGGTAATGGTGGAAGATCCTCCCAGGGTATCGTACTGCGACTGGATCTGCCTCTGGGCGTTGAGGGCCTCCTCCGGGGTCCTGTACTTGATGAAGAACACCTCCGGCTTGTTGATGTGCTGTGGCGCCTCGGCAATGGCGTCCTGCAGATCGGCAGCTGTGGTCTTCTTGGCCAGGACATACACCACGGTCTTCTCCTGCTTGAGGGTCTTGGCCAGGTTGAGGGCGGCGGCCTTGTTGGTCTGAGCCGGGGTCTTAACGAAAAGGACGTTGTAGTGGTTGCGTGGCTGCTGGGCCAGTTGGTTCAGCTCGTCCTGGACCTCGTCTTCGGACTCCTCGGGGGCGGAGTGGATAAAGAAGTTCTTGGTTACAATGGGACGCTTCGGAATCCTGACCCTGGGGCGAGCACGACGATGTTGCTGGACGGGAGCAGTCTGGAAATTGACGGGGAAGCCAGTGGGCATGGGGAAGGCTCCTCCGGAAACGGGGCGAGACTGGGACTGGTACTGATTGCCACTTGGGGGCAGATACGGCAGCGGCAGTGGGGGCAGGACTGGGTGGGAAGACTGGACCTGGGCCTGGGCCTGCTGCAGTTGCTGGTTGAGCAAATGGGCCACCACCGGAGGCTGGGGCTGCTGCTGGATCCTATAGTTGTAGCCCGCCTGAGTCAGACTGATGTCGGCCTGGCAGACCGACAGACTCAGGGCGCCCATCAGAACCGTCTAAAATCAAGAGCAAAAATAATATTATAATCCTCAGATCTATCCATGGTATCCAGTAGTAATCCACGCACCACAAAGATCTTCATGCTGTCGCTTGGGTTTTGGTTTCTGTCTCCTGTTAGCTGTCTTAGCCGGATGCTCCCACTTGGCTTGGCTTGTCTCTCGGATGTGATGATGTCTTAACCCAGTTCGGGTCTTTTTATACTAAAGCCCAGAGCTACAACTAGTTTATAATCGGAAACAAATCGTGAAATAGTATGGTAGTGTGGCTACCACACAGTTGCAACAGTTTATTTTTCTTTCGGGGGCCATAAAACACAAAAACAACATTAGATATGCGTGGCGGAGATGTATGTTTGGGTGGCAAGTGGATCTGCGCCTTTGTGTTTGGAGTTGTTTTATGTTTTATGTTTTGGGGTTCAACAAAAGTCAGGCGAGAGGAAATTCGAACAATGGTGAAGATGATACATATACGGGATCTGCAAATGTTGTAAATATTACAATAAAATTCAGTTTAGATTTGGATATTCAAAAACAATCTAAAGTAAAAGATAAAATGCATTAGATTATGACATTATTAAATTAACTAATTTTAGGTTTATTCCATTGGTATAAGAGTCTATATACTAAGATTAATGTATTTAGAGAAACTTCTTAGGTTAAGCCCCCCAAACATAGTTACTTTATTCAAAGTATAGCTACATTGCCTAAAAATGTAAAAGTCCTAACAACTTTTGCGAATTTAAATGTTCCAGCTTAGTCAGTCACGGCTGCCAACTTAACAATCAAAGTCTCGTTTAAATTAATACTAATGTTTTTTTTAACAATTTTTGTTATTTTATTTTTTTGGCACTTTAGTTGATATGTAAATATTGATGACGAAGATAGGCAACGGCGAGGTTACAAACCCACCCAGCTGCGAATGCACTTTTGTCTTTCAGACCATTGTCTCGTTATTTGTTTTATGGCCCCAAAACTTGATCCATCAAATGGAAATTGAAATATTGTAAATTCGGGGACTGGTCATGCACACTATCGTAGAGTATTTCGCATCTATCTCGGGGTGATCAAGGTCTAGGTCTTTGTATCTGCTCGACTGGGCGGAGATACATCTATATCGTGGGGCGATATATTGTCAGCTCCAAATGTGCCAAATTGAGACAAGATGAGCATATGTTTTGATTCGGATGGGTCGAAGTGAAGGTAAATCACCTGATAAAATCGAAAGCAAGCATTTCGAATTTGGATTAGCTTGTCAATTGGACATGCCGGAAATTAGTTGTCATAACAAAGAGCTAAGTAGATGCAGATGGATTTGGTCTCAGATATGACCATATAGGGTTAATTGGCAGCCCTATTATTGGAGAGTGAATGTGTCTGGGGATTACATCCGACCGTTTCCTTTCCAATTTAGTGACCCACTTAGTGTAGGGACTATGTTATAGGAACTTCTACCCACAAATCAAAATAAAAAACCAGCCAAGGGCAACCAAGCTTTAAAATGATAAGTTACTCCACATTTCTAACGGGGGCTATCTATTTTTGAAATTTTTATTTTTTGGGAAGCAAAAACTTGGCCGAAGAAAACAGGTTTTCTACTTTCTCACGCCAATTTCGTGGGCCATGACGAAAGGTAAGAAATGAAACCGAAACTTTGTTTACCTTTGAGGGGCTGAATAGTTTGTTTTTTAAATGCAGAGATCTGTCAAAGAAATATACGATAAATATCCGTTGGTAATGTGAAACCGAAATTACTTTGTCATTAATTAATAGCCCTAGCTAAATGCATTTAAGATGAAAGTAGTCTTACAAAAGCCACAGAAAATTAAATTAAATCAAAATGAAATGGAATCTGACCAAAAGAGCTCCCTGTGATTAATGAGTGTCAAGTGTTGCCGAACCTTGCATATTTTATGCAAATCGAATAAGTTGCTAAAATGTTCAAAAACCAAAAAAAATGTTATTGAATGCAAAGCACTCGGTGCACAGATAGATTAGCCAAAAAAAATAAAATAAAACACAAAAGTGAATGTTGACGGGACACAAATTATGATTTGCGTAACAAAACTATTTTAATAATTTATTAATTCACACCATGAGAGATTTTGACATTGGGGCCTTTGTCTGCTCCTATCAGTATTATTTACAGATCTATCAGTATCCCAATCCCAATCCGAATCCGACTCCGATTCCAACTCCGTCTTATTGAAATCCGTCGAATCGAATTGATTGGGCGATAAATGCCCCTTCGAGGCCTACCATCTCGAAGCTCGGATAATAAATGCCTTTTTAATTATTGGCCTACAAACGATTCGAATATTAATTATGGGACACCTCGAGTTCACAACTATTTTTGGGATGCCCCAGACAAAACGTCCATTATTATTTTAAGCATGTGGAACAAATTTTGGTTTTGTCTTTTTTTGGATTTAAGCCGACAGCTTTTACACGAAGCCAGGCACTAATTTTTGACAAATGAGCGAGGATCGATCGCCGAAACAAGTTAAGAGGTTGCTTTTTCAATAAGCTGAATCAAATATTTGATAAATGCTTCCGAAATGAGAGACGTATGTTTTTTTTTAACCACCTATTAAGATTTAAAATAAAATTTTAAAAGTGAAACAATATCCATGGTATAAATAGTATTTAAACGGCAATATTAATATATATTATCAAAAATAATAATCTATTTCAAAATGGTATGAATCTTTTTCCTAACAAACTAGAACGGATAAATTTTCAACATTTTCTAAAAAAAAAAACATTATTTCCAATATTTAACTTTTTTTTAACCGTTTTCCTTCCTTTTTGTAATAATTATAGAGAATAAACAAATATATCAGAACAAACACCCAAAAAGTATGCTTTACTTTTTAGCCCTCGAAATGGTCTTATACTTATGAAGCCTAATTTAATACTACAAATACTAGCCTAATACAATACTACTTTGAATTCGTTAAAGAAAATAAACTATAAAAAAAACAATTAAACAAATCTTAAAATCTAATTTATATAAGATAAATATTTAGCTTCAATCGCTGCTATTTCGAATGTGAAGCATTTTAATCATGTTCGAGATTCAAACTACATATGTATGTCCTATATTTTCCAATAAATACGTTTTCCTATGAAATATACCCTTTTATATATATTTCCTAAAATAGATATTAATTTAATAGTATTAGTTTCAAACAAAGTTCAAAGCAAATTTTCAAGATAAAGTAGCAAACGATTTATCAAACTTGACTGCAATAAATTTCAGAGTATTTTCTGCACTTTCTAACTAATCACCCGTTGGTCACTTTGATTATTTGATGACTTTGTGTATCTCCTCCATTGCAGATAAGATATAGTAATTTTATTTTAAGTTGTTTGTGTAGCCAGCCCATCAATAAAGCGTCGGACACACGCTTCAATCATCCACAATCAATCGAGTGCCAAGAGGTCCAAGTGTCATTTCGCAATGAACACCAATAAGCGAAATCAAATTGCAGGGACAATGGCTCAGGCTGTTTGTTGTAGTTAATTTATTTAGCATCCATCCAATATCAATTAACAGTATCAGGTAATAAAATTGGTCAGTTGACTTCGGGCAGTTATCAGTGATTTCTAAAATTCTATTCGGTGATAAATTCATTTATGCCGCCACTCTAAGGAATCACACTGACCAAATGGTGTTATAAAAATACTTTATTCACCCCAACTGGGGTCTTGTGATAAAATATTCAGAGAACTAATAGCCAATCACTGGTTATTTTTAGGCATATGACTAAATAGACTGGTCGTAAATAGACTGGTCAGTTTGAACTTTCAACAAATATTACCCATACGCCCCATAGTCCGACCCATAAAAGTAAGTTACCAACCGAGCTGATTGTTTATTAAATCTTTTATTTTTTATTGGTGAAATTGAAGCTTATTATTGAAAATTATATCAACTGACTAGTTTTCTTATCAATTAATGAGTATAAATTGTCCTGTTTTCCCGGTTCTTTACATTTACAAACAAATTCGATGTATCGTAACGACTTCTTTGGTTTGAGTATGTCATTGGCTGCTCTCTTTTTGAATTTTTTCTTAATTACAGATTTACAGACTCTACAGGAGGAACTTCTGGCTGGCTAAGAGGACGATTAGGGTCAATGCCAGAGATCCTGTGAGTCTTGCTGCTCCTGATATGTCTCCCTCCACGAACACCACAGCTCGGTCATTTAGCTCTTGGAGCGCGCGGTAATTGTTGGGCAATGTTTTTCCATTATGGTGTTCAATTTGCCTGAACATGTTCACCTGGTCAAAGGTCACTGGAACGGTTTCGGCCATCAAAATCCACGTGACGGCCTCGGCGCAGTTGGGCGTGGTCAGAGAACCGGCATAGGTGAAATAGTTATCCGCACTGGGCATCAACTCTTCAAAAGCCATAACATTCCCAACAGATACAAACTTATTTATATTTGAGGCACTTGTTATGCTATCCAAGTTTCCGACAATTTTATCGATGGCTCCGTTTCGGATGGGGGAAGCGTGGAAAAGGACTCCGATCACTACAATGCCGTCCTTGAACTGTGTTGCCATGGAAGTATTGGGGTAAATGGTGTTCCTGTGGACGATGTGCATCTCTAAGGGGTAGCGGATGTTGTTGATAGTGTGCTCCGACCACCAGTGGAAGTGGATCTGCTCCACGACGTAATCGTTCAACAAGCCACCTCCTCTCAATACAAGATCATCATCAAATCCCGTTAATTGAACTGTGAAAAAAATATAAAAAATGATTAAGCTTTGTAATTAAACTCTTAAATACTTGACTCACCGGTGTGACCGTTGTTAACCATTTGCAGTTCGTTCTGAAGGTCGTCGAAATTCTCAAAAACCAAGGGATCAAAGAACCCTTTGAGGGTCTTTTTAGAATCTATATTAATAGGACTTTGCCTTTGTCCATTATCACAAAGTTCGCCCCACTTGGGAAAAGCTGCAAATTGAAATACATATATATTAGTCGTATTAAAAAACAAATGATCAATTAAATACAAGCCATTCCTATTCATCAATGTCAAAACTTCAATTTGCAAGCCATTTTTTGGCAAGCAAAATTTTTATCTAAAATAAAATGCTCATAAATCAAACTTTATATAATTGGCTATCGCTTCTTTCAATTAAAAACTCTTGGAAATTCTTAGTTTTCGCAGAATTTTTAAAGACAGAGTCAACCGGGCGGCGGTTCGCATTTATCATTATTTATGTTCAATTTGCATACACAACAATTTCGCCCAATTTGGACCAACTAAGCCCCGAGAGCACGTCATGCTTTATAGTGTATGACTATAGAGAGTAGTCGACGGCGGTATGCAAAAAACTTGACAATGGACAAAAATGATCCACTCTACGCGGGCTTTTTGGCGTTGATTAACTAATTTTAGCAAATAGACTTGAATGGGTTTTGTCGGAATTGGCTTTACTTACACACAGTGTCGCTGTCCCAGTCCGGGTAGCCCCAATCATCTGCCCGGCTGAGTGCCAGGGAGCAGAAAGCTGCAACGAGAAAAAACACAAACACCTTAAAATATCAAGTATACGCCCAGTGATAGCATTTAATGGCTTAATTTAACTTCAACTTGACCGACAAGGCATGACAAGACCGCAAGAAACACACTCAGGGCCAAAAAATAATACACATTAAAAACTGCAGTTGATGGCAAGCAATAAAAACCGAAAATTGAAGAACGGAGGGTCAATCTTTTTTGGCAGCGTCAACAGTCTCACAGCACCATCACCTTGCACTTGAATTGGCCAAAAATAACCCAGAAATTTATGATTTCCTCCGATTGTATCTGTTGTATAAGTTGGCATATTTAAATCAAGCAATATGTACCTGGTACATAAATGTTTCATTAACCTGCAAGCCAAACAAAAAAATTGGCAGATACTTTCTTTTCTGCCGGCTAAAAGCATTTTGACATGTGAATATCAAAATATCAACTAATTTTTATGCGTGCGGTCAGCAGCTCTGGTTTTATTTTATTTTTTAGATTTTTTTACGATCCATTATGGTGTTTAAAAAACACTGAACATTCGCATAACTCGGTTAAATGTGTGATCTGTGATCAAATGGTTGTGTTTATTAAGCCAAATTCAACATTAATGGGTTAATAAAAAGTCCGCAAACAGGAATGATAATTTATGCTCCGTCTTTAATCTTTGGAATATTTATGCTTTCTGTTTTGGCATTTTTGCAAGTTGGACAAACGACGACGACAGCTGTGAAAGTACTGTCCACAGCTAAATATAAATACTAAACAATTGCTCTAGTATAGGTATTATGGCTTTTGCCGGGCAGCGTGCCGGGCCGTACATCAGCTGAGGTATTAATATATACCTAATATAATCGTGGTTCGCCCTGTGACGCAATGATTTAGAGAGCAAGATTCCCGAGTTATGGCTTTTGTTGATTAGACATAATAATTCATTTTTGGTTCTGGACATTAATGATTTTATAATAATTTACTTAGTAGAAAGCCTTCTGCTTTTCATTGAAACCTAATGATCTGGAGGCCGTATAATTTTCCCTTTTAATTGAGAAACGATCACAAGATCTAATGGTGGTTTGCCATTTATATAAACTTTGAATAGCTGGTGGATTAAAGGAAAATCACTTGACCTGAGACCTCAAAACGTTTCCCTAGCTTTTTAGTTTTCCAAGTGCTTCCTTCACACTGGGAGCACATGCAACAAATGTCGGGCAATCATTTAAAGTGCAATTAAATTTGCACATGCAAACGACTCGGGCAATTAAATTTGACTAGTCAGAGCTTTGATATCTGATTAGAGGAAATGTTCTGTAATTCCAGCAGCCCCGGGGTGTAAAAGTTAACAAAACGGTAATTGCAACGGCAAGCTGGCAATGCAAATGGTAGATAATCATGTGAAAAGTCGCTCAAAATAAACAAGTGGAAAATGCACTCAACGTCAAGTGAAAATATTTCAATCTGAATGGTAATTGTATGGAATTCTGCATCGTGTTTCCATATTAGCTTTACATGTCATCCGCCAGTGAAAATGGCATTGGCCTGTCTCGTTTATTTAATCATTTCGAGCAAGTCAGCAGAAATGTTTCGAACTTGCATAGCTCAGCAACTGGCGATAATACACAATAATTTGTCAAGTTTGTCTTCTGTGGGATTCAGATTTGTAGAGCACTCAGTGATTTTCCAGACAGAATTTTATTTACATTTTAGTGAGCACAATAATCAAAGATATCTCCCGCCGATAAACAATTTCGGGAGTGCGCACGATTTAATGTCCCATTGTCATAATTTATTTAGTGTGGGGTCTTTGATAAGCTGCGATATCCAATAAATACACCTCCGGTCATGTGAATGGAAACAATTGATTTTTGTTATCTGTTTCACAAATATTGTGGCTCATAAATCTTTAAAAAATATAAAATAATTTAATATTATTTTACACAGGAAACTCAAAAAGGTTTATGAACCCAGTTCTTTATGTCTTATATTCCAAACTCATATCTTGCTATGTCACTGGGTTATAACTCTCTTGGATATCTGAATGACGAGACTTTGGTTTTTCTAAATTGCTTCAAAATTCTGACGTCTGATATTCTGGCCATAAACCTAAACTGAGATTGCTTTAGGGCATCGCAACATTGCAAATCGATTGTGGGAGTAGGCTGAAAATTTTCCATCTGGACTTTGGGCCTCAAGTGCAAGCGGAAGAAGTTCAATGGATGATGATAAAAGCCTTTCTTGACAAACAGAGTTTCGAGATAGTAACTGCCGGAGGCAGAAGCTCTTGAGTAAACAAGACCCTGGCTGCAGATGACTCTATACTTAGTATATGCAAATAGTATGTATTGACAATCAAGAAGGCAAAGTGCAATTCCGCTGTGGCTCGAAATCAGAGCCCATTACAAACATGTCAGATACACAGAAGTTACAACGCTTCAGTGGCGTCGAATGGTGGTATTACAAAGTGGGTGTGTACACTTCATCAATAGCTTGTTCCACAGCTATCTGAAAAAATCGATTAGGTACAGTTTAAATTTGGGTTTCCCTTTATATTAATCAGAAACCCAACTCGTATCTGGAGCACCAAAGAAAAAACCAAAACACTTGTAAACCAACAGATGTAGGGGGATTAAACGGTAGCCAAGAAAGCAAAAAGGCCTTATATTCCAATTGAATTCTATATAATCTTAATCACCTGTTGTCACAACAGGTACACACCAGAGTCATATAACGGGGACAGAAATCGCAGCTAATCAGGCAATAAACTACCTGACAGGTAAGCGAAGGCGATAAGCAGGTGCTCCGCAATGGCGCCTAATAGAACGATTAGGCTTAATCGAATCTTTTAGGGCTCCATAAACCCAACACGGCTAATTGGTAATTAATCGTTTAATATTCATTCCCCCATCTCCTGTTCGGGTTTATCAAAACCAGGCACAGACGGATCTAATCGGAGATTTCTGGAGTACCATCTAGGGAATATAAATTACTTTCGACTATCTGGATTAGGTCAGCAGTTTTTGCCACCCAGACCTCGGGAAGGCCAGAAATATTTAGCTTTTGCTGACCTTATCAGACAAGTTGCCCCGTTGTGATGAGTCGATTGCCACCAGTATCTGTATCTGAGTATCTGAGTTAGACGAATTAAGTGGGTATTTTCCAAATGCCCCGCACAAAGTCAAACACGATGGCAATATGTTGTCTTCCATTCAGATATCTCTTCGGGCGCGTGATCCACGTCCAAAGTACGGGGTTCTGAAGTGTTGTCGAAGTTCTACTGAAGTGACGCACTGAGCTCAGATTTCAGATATCTTATGGAGTATGTGTTAGGGGTTTCAAATTAGATACCAGAACAGCATTTATTGCTACAGTAAGTCCCCTGATTTTATGATCTTACATGAAGTAATACTCGATCTTTGTAGAAAAAAAGTTTTTATGCGAAATTTAAATATTGTGAAAGGTTTCAAAAATCCCCTTATGAGACACCTGCTACTCTGGGTTCTCTTAATAAATGTAGCCCCAATTTGTCGAGGCTAATCACCTTCAATAGCAGAATCTTGGACAGGATGGAGCCAATTGACAATACGACTCGTGCCTCAACGAGAATCTAAATAAGAACCCTAATCTGCATTTGTCTGGAAAATACCCAAGCTCATCCGTACACACTTCCGATTTCAATCATGTCTATGAGAACCTATATCCATTGTAAATCGTATGTAAAAGGCCGCTTTGTAATTTGTGATCCCTGGGTATATTATCACTGGTATATTGTTTGCGGCATCTTATCAATTCAATGGATCGGAATAATTACAAAATAAATAGTAGACCTGACGACGACAATTAGAATGTGGAGGAATGTGGAAATTTTTGAGCGTGGGATCACTTTCAAGACGTGACTTTATTTTTGCCATTTTAGAGTTAACTGATTATTTGCACCTAAGATTCGAATCAAGTGGCCTTTGATGTTTAAGTAATTTTTTTGGCTCCTCGGTGAATCACTCTTCGGTAATGAATTTCTTTTAATGGTCGTTAACTGAGTCACCAATGATAGAAGGCATTAAATATTATTGAACTATGTATTTACCTAGCACGAAGGATGTAATAAAATGCATTTTAAACAAACAATTTAACGATCACTTTTTGGGTACAAATTTGCAAAAACGGTCTCACTTTCACTTGAATTTTCACTGAACTGTCATAAATTATTTGACTTGATTTGACTTATATGTATTTGACTTTTTTTTTAGAGTTTGCCAGGCAGGACACTGAACCTTTGCAGTCTCGAATCCAACTCCATCGGCCTGGAGAATGGCACGCGTCTTTTATAATGGAACCACGTCGGGTGGTGGGCCAAGAACGGAACCCGCAACGGTCAGGCACAGAATGATTATTACTGAAAAGCGGTGCGAGCATCGGGCAATGTGCACACATACACTCGCGCCGAACCCACACCCTCATGTACCGACCCAGCCATAGAGCACCGAGCGCACACATACTAGCAATTGAATTGAATTACGGCAACGATATACTCAGGTTTATGTGCTTGCTCTTTATTTTTGAGGGGTTTTTCGGTTTTCCGTTTTCCGCTCTCACCCACAAGGCGCACACATACCACCACAGACGCAATTAATGGCGAAAATCGGCGAGCGAACTGCAACTATCGCAGCAGCAGAGGACTTCGGCGTTGACGGCGCAGCTTAGAGGCTGATTAATTGATAAGCAGGCCGAGAATGCTAAACGAACGGTAATTGCCAGTGGACCCAGAAGAACCTACACAGAGAGAAAGTAAAGTGCTTTTTAAAATTTATTTTTTAAAATTTTATTGCTTTCAGTTTCAAAGGACAAAAAGAGATACCACGTTTGATGAGTTCTTCTATTAATACATTACCTGTCTAGGTACTTGATATAATTTTCTTTATTCAAGAGACCCCTACTTCTCTCTCAGCCACACACATATACTCAAACATAGCCAAGAGCAACCGGAAGTGACGTATCCGCTGCGCAAGCAAAACTTATCACTCAGATGTCAAGATCGAGATTGTCATTATATTTGGCAAATAAATTTCAATTGATCCTCCCCACTTGCCAGCCAGTCTAGGCGATTAAAATTAGAATTAAATTAATTTAGTGCGACGAAATTGCCAATTGTTGCACCCACATGCACTTCCCAATTACCCGCGAGCGAGACAAATGCTAATTGAGAGGGACAAATTCTCTTGTCGGCCCAAGTGAAAACGAGAGGTAATGATCTGCCTGTCGTCGCTGCTGCTGTGACCTTTTGTTTGGTGACCAGCCTACGTCATTAAATTGCAGTTAATGGTGCCAAAAGGCAAAACAAAAGTCAATGTCGAGCGTCAGCTGCTCCCGTTTCGCAAAAAAAGGGATAAAAGGTAGAGGTAGGTAAGGCTTTTTGGCGGGAAAAATAATAAAATATATATCCTTAACTACCTTAATGAACATGCGTGACAAAAGAAAGTGTAGATTGTTTGTATTACTAAAATATGTGCTTTCCCACATAATCTAGAAAATTGATTTGTTCCCATTTAGCAGAACGTGGCCATGAAATAGTTGCAATTTGTCGCCACATTATCGCAAAACAAATGAAACGACAGGCTATTAAAATACAGTGTCTCTTGTAGAATAATATTTAAAACTGCTTGTTTCTTTATATAATTTATAAATTATTAGAGACAACGCAAAGATTTATGTGCTTATAAGTATATCAAATTATGAAAAATACAATTTGTAAATAAAAACATACAAATTGATCACATTTTTTCACATTGTTGAATCAGATTAAAATTTAGTGCAAATCAAATGGGTTTATAAATAGAAAGCGCTGCACCTTCTACCCATTTTATCAGCCATTCACCATCAATGTACTATCTGTGCCCTGGATGCATGTGGGTAGGTGGGTGGGTGATTGCAATTCATGAATGGCAAAAAAGTAAATTCAACAAGCGTGTTGACAAAAGGCGCTGTTTGCAACGTCACGCGATGGCGGAAAATAAAAGAAAAGGGAGCTGACGGGCAAATAAAACGCCACATGTGACAAATGGCGGGCTCTGGTGACCCGAATAGTTGTTACAATTACATTAGGCGATGGCGGGTTAACGTGAATCGTTCTGGGAACCAATTTAAAGGCAATTCGGCAAATTAACATCGAATCAAATCAATTGAAATGTGCGAACATGTGATTCGCCCAGATCCTATTTGCTGATGAAGAAGCAATTCAATTAAGTTGTTAGACTCTGGCAAACAAGTGAGCAGTTATAAAGTCAGGGTTATAGAATGGCTTCCATGGCTTATCAATTATTTGAAATTTGCCGCCAAAATTTTGGCGCCCATACTTGAATTTTTTTGGTCTAGCAACCCTAGTCTTCAGAGATGACACTTTTATTAGAGATGAGTTGGCAGGACTGTCCAGCTGTCATTTTGACGCGTTGCCACCTTTTTTTGAAAAACTATCGAAAAGCATCCCGTGTTACCGTAGCTCCGCGAGAGCCAAATCTCGAAAGAATCGAGGAGGCGTGGTGTTTAGCATTCGGCAAAGTTAACACAAAACATCTTTCATGTTTTGTTTAAATATCATTTAATATTTTGTAAAAGTCGATAATCGTTTATAGAATTTGAACTTATCAAAAGCGGATATAAAAAAGTAGGTCCATCGCCCAGAGCCGCGGACTGTCAACTCGGCACTCTGTTGAGAGGCCGGTCACACTACCGAGAAAGAAACAACCAAAAAGTTTGCGGAAGAGTGCAAGCATATTTTTCATTTTCAAAGGTTATAACAGCATCTAGAGGCGTTCACTAATCGCAAACGAAGGACTAAAGTGCCGGCCAGCCGTAAGTTGACAAATTATTGCAGCATTCAATGTATTTCAGCCGCTTTGGAGGCCTCGAAAATTTTGCAAAAACCGAAAAACGAAAAAATTTTGCACATCGTCGGCGGCGGCTGCGGTGCTGCTACGGTGCTCGTTCTGCTTTGCCGCGGCGGCTCCTCTGCCTCAGCGACGCCGGCAGCGATATGCAGCTGAAAGATGAAAAACTGCTACGCAACGCAGGGCTCCCCCATTATTAATTTCATAAATTAGTTGGTATGGAAATTATGTGTAAATTCGATATGTAAATTCGGCATGTTCCCTGGTGTGCGGGTGTTCTTCCAAGTGTGCGTGTGCGTGAGATTCTTATTGGAAAAGCGTGTGCTCATCGGTGTGAACATTTCGGCGGCTGCTTTGCATGCGTGTGTGTGAGAGTGAAAGAGAGAGAGAGAGCGCGCACACGCTTTTTTAATGGTGGTGTGGAAACACACACTCACACTCACGCACACAGCAGAAGACAAAGAAGAAGAGGAAGAGTTGCGTCGCTGCTGCGCTGCCGGCGGCAAGTCACCGCCGCTGTCACCGTCGACGTCGCTGCACTTTGCCAGGAATTCTCTTGCCCCCAAAATAACTTCAAAAATTTTTTGATTGCCATTGCGCCGCTGCTCCGTCCATCCATCCATCCGTCCGTCCCACCGTCGTATGTCAATATATATGTATATTCTATAAAAACAACAAAGTTCTCCCCCATCTGTAAGTCTGTATTGTTGTTTATCGTTTTTGAATTTTTGATTTTTCAGGAAACTGAAATATTCGGAAAAGGAAGCAACAGAAGCAGAAGCAGCGGCAGCAGCAAGCAAAAGACTGATTACCGATTACAACGTAGCAGCAAGGAGTTTCCAAGCAGACACTCGCAGGACGCGGATTACGACCACTGGCTCTGAACTGTGGGTAGTCCTGGGCCACACCATAGCAAGCGCCCCCTTTTAATGTCTTTTCTTCTGTCATCGATAGGAAAGGAATCGAGAAACCCAGACACCCGGAGAGCAAACTGAAATCGGCGGCGGGGATAAGCAGTCGGGAGTCGAGTGCTGGGCAGGAGCAGCAGCAGCAGGCAGCAGTGGTAACGAGGAGTAGCAACTACCGTGAGGCATCAGCACCAAACCATCCATTAGCAGCCAAGAAACTAGACATTATGGAAGATCTTCTGGTGGAAGTCAGGCTCGACAATGGAGCCTACTACAAGGTGAGACCTGGGGGCCAGCGATAACGAAAAGCACGTGAGACTGGCAAGGGGGGTATAGAACACAAAAAGAGGAGTTGGGGCAGCTGCCTCAGTTTCTAATTTCGTGGATTTTCAGCTTTCTTTCTATAAATAACTGCAACATTTTGAGTGGAGTCTCGACATCATCACCACCATCGCACACTAATACCTATGCAAATGGCCCCAACACCACCACCATCGCACTGCTCGGTCGACGCCTCAGTCGGCTGCGCCGTCAACGTTGTGGGGGTGTTGACGTCGGCGTCGTCGTCGTCGTCGGCATCAGTGATTTGGTATTTTGTTGTTTAGGTGATTTCCCTTTCTACATTTTTTGTGATTTTAATGCGTTTAAGCCGATTATGTGATATGTGGTTAAAGTTAGTAATGCATAAAAATGGAATTGGCTTATTGTTATAAGCTATAGCTGGTAATGGCGTCTTTATGGTTTATATTTTATACAAAACCCTGGCGGCAAAGGGGCGATGTCGTGTAACGTAAGCAGTGGGATTCTAGAAAAGCGGGAATTATTGTTGGTATACAAAGGTATTCCACGTATTTGGGATTTAGTTGCAGAAATTCCTAACTGGTTAGGTTCAACTACTGCAATGGGTAGTAGAGTTATGGTTAGTTCTAGTTTATTTTCATAAAATGGGAAACTTTCATGCTGAAATCTCTTCATTTTAATAATAAAACTAGCTGGAATACTGATAAATAGTTGAAAACACTCTGCATAGTTGTTAAACAAACCAAATGCATTAAACACATACTAGTATATGGTCTACCATTCAAAGAGCGTCTCCCCGCGGTGATTCAGCAGCTCTGGGCTGTTTGCATTTTGGATAAGGTTCCTCATGCGTTCGCTTATCAGGAATATATAGAGTTCTCGATTTCACATTGTTTTCAGCCGTTCTAGTGCAGAGTGCTGAGGTGTGGGGTGTGGTGGGAAATCATAAAAATATAAATTATATATATATATATATGTATATGCTTAGCAGAATTGAGGAATGAGGTATATCATAGGCAAAAAAAAAAAAGACCCACATTAATGACACACATTTTTCTCTTTTTTTTCCGCCATTCTCTTCCTCTTGGTCGCCCTGTCAATGTTCTTGTATTTCCACCTCCTGTGCTGCCAACGTCAATGCAACAACAACTACAAACAACAACAACAACAACAGGGCCAGGTGACAGCTGTCGGCGATGATGGCATCTTTGTGGATGTGGATGGGTAAGTTTTTTAGTCTCAAAAGAAACAAATCTGCGAACAGGACAACACCAACCAAACCAACAACAACAACAATAATAATGGCAAACAAATTACAACAAAAATTCATGTAAAACGTATTTTCTAACTAATTTGCAACAATTAGTACAAGCAAAGCAACAACAACAACCACCAACCTAGACGTCGACGCGTCGTCTTCTTGGCATCGAAATTGGAAATTAGAGATGCTGGGCACGCATCATTTATGCTATACCGCCCGCCCCGCTCCGCCCCCTCTAAACATTTCTTCAAATGTTTAATTTGGCGCAATTTGTTAAACGCCACTGCAGCAGCAACTGACGAACTGACCATCCAAGATCCAAGACGGTCTGTCCGCCCCACTGACATCTGCCCAAAGGCAATCATTTTACATAGGCGCTAGTGTTGGTGGGCCCAGTGGTTGGGGTGCGGGGGACTGGCCCCTTAAAGCTGTCAAGTGCGAACGACAAATGCCACTAAGCAGCGGCGCTGCCACGGCGGCCAGCGTCAAAGGCGCGGCTATTTTTAATTTGCGGAAAGAAACCATTTATATTTATTTATTTTCTCAACTCGGCTATGATGCGGCTATTGGGCGGCTTGTAACAGATTCTTAAACTAGAATGCAATCTTACTTGAAAAAAAAACTTAAAATTAGAAATAAAATCAAGTCTTTATGGCCCAGCAACAGATTTGGAATCTTAGGAAACATACATCTTCTGTTTTCCAATTTTAATGGCTATACTTATTTATGATTTATGAATCTATACCTTTTAGAGGCAGGTATCTGAGAATTCTTACATAAAAAAAATCATATATTTTAATTTTAGTTTTATAATTTAACAAAAAAGGGTATTATACAGTCGGTTTATGGATCTCTTACTCCATTTCTGTGTTGATTTTTATTTATTTTAGTGCCTGGCTGCATTTCTTGTGACATTTTTGGAACGAAAATTGTTCATCTTCTGATTTAATTTTGTTGTCTTCCATCGCTCACACTCGGGAGAACTCTGCTTGAGCTGAGCAGCTGGATCTAAAATTAGTTGCACCACTATGCTGATGACTCTCCGACTTTCCTCCGACTGTTGTGTGGCATTTCCGATCTATGTTTTGGTTTAGATGGGATCGGGATTGGGATTCGGGATTGTGGCACCCCCACAGTGGTTTTTGTTGTTGCTTGGCCTACTGCCAGAGAGGGAGCAGCTGCATCTGCGGATGCCGCCACTGCCTGCTTATGCCTCTGTCGCTGTCGCTGTCTCGGCCGGCGTTGGCAAACACCTGTCCGTGGACTTTCTCGTTATTTTGGGCAAATGTGCACCCGTAATTAATTGAGTCTCCTTTCTCTGTGAATGCACGGTCATTGTTGCAGCGTGCCCGACGTGATGAAATATCCATTTGGTAACGTCCGCCTGCCGCCCGAGGAAGCCGTCGATGTGACAGCCCCCGTCTTTGAGGAGGGCATGGAAGTGGAGGTGTTTACGCGCACAAACGAGCGCGAGACCTGCGGCTGGTGGGTGGCCATCATCAAAATGCTCAAAGCGGACATCTGTGCGGTGGCCTACATCGGCTTTGAGACCCCCTACACCGAAATCTGCGAACTGGGCCGCCTGCGCGCCAAGAACTCAAATCCGCCAATTACAGCCAAGTCTTTCTACCAGTTCACGCTGCCTGTGCCAGAGGAGTTGCGCGAAGAGTGAGTATTATATCTCTTCTGTCAGGATTATATTGTAATCTTAATTCAACTTCCTTCAAACAGAGCTCAGAAGGATGGTATTCACAAGGAGTTTCAGCGCAGAATCGATGCCGGTGTCTGCAACTACAGTCGCGAACTGGACGCCCTGATCGTCATCTCCAAGTGGGAGCACACTCAGAAGCGTGCCAGCATGCTCAAGGATATGCATTTTCGTAATCTCTCACAGAAGGTAAAGTCTTAAAGCTTAAAGTGTTTGTATTTTATTGATTTCTGGATCTTGTACATCAGGTTATGCTGTTGAAAAGGACTGAAGAGGCTGCTCGCCAGCTGGAAACGACTAAACTGATGAGTCGTGGGTATGTATTGGCCAGAGATGCTATCAAATATTTACTTATTTTAAAAATACTATCTATAGAAACTATGTGGAAGAGTTCCGTGTGCGCGAAGATCTCATGGGCTTGGCCATTGGGTCGCATGGCTCGAATATACAGGCGGCACGCACGCTGGTCGGCGTCACAAACATCGAGCTGGAGGAGAAGACCTGCACATTTAAGATCAGTGGCGAGACTGAGGAGTCGGTGCAGCGCGCCCGCGGCATGCTCGAATACGCCGAGGAGTTCTTCCAGGTGCCCAGGGAGCTGGTGGGCAAAGTGATTGGCAAGAATGGCCGCATCATCCAGGAGATTGTTGATAAAAGTGGCGTATTTCGAATCAAGGTGAGTGCTGTGAGTATTGTGCATTTGACTCGGACCCGTTCTAATCATTACCGGTCAGATCGCTGGCGACGACGAGCAGGATCAGAATATACCACGTGAGCTGGCACACGTACCCTTTGTGTTCATTGGCACCGTGGAGAGTATTGCGAATGCCAAAGTGTTGCTGGAGTATCATCTGTCGCATCTGAAGGTGAGATTGGAAGTTGAATACGAATTCTTTTGGAATTCCACTAAAATCTTTGGATGTTTGGACGTGTAGGAAGTGGAGCAGCTGCGCCAGGAGAAGATGGAGATTGACCAGCAGCTTCGCGCCATTCAGGAATCCTCCATGGGCTCCACACAGAGCTTCCCCGTGACGCGACGCTCCGAGCGCGGCTACAGCAGCGACATCGAGTCGGTGCGCTCCATGCGCGGTGGTGGTGGCGGCCAGCGTGGTGGCGGTCGGGGACGTGGACGCGGTGGCGGCGGCCCCGGTGGCGGCAACGGCCTCAACCAGCGCTACCACAACAATCGGCGCGACGATGACGACTACAACTCCCGCGGCGACCACCAGCGCGATCAGCAGCAGCGCGGCTACAACAATGATCGCGGCAGCGGCGACAACAACACCACTGGCAGCAACTATCGCGGTGGCGGTGCGGGAAACAACCGACGCGGCGGCATCAACCGCCGGCCGCCACGCAACGACCAGCAGAACGGCAGGGACTATCAGCACCACAACCACAACAACGACGAGGTGCGGGAGACCCGCGAAGTGAGCAGCGTGGAGCGAGGTGAGTCCAGTGAAGCACTTGGCCCAATTAACCAATTAGTTCAATCAATTTATCTCGCGCGCAAAACAAGATACAAAGTGAATACGAATACTTGATACCCTGGGAAATGGACTTTGGTGGGGCAGGCAACCCAGAATCGAATCCAATCCGTACAGCAAGAGTTCAACGTTCATTTGTTCAAAGATCTAACAAAATGTATTATCATTTGAAATTTTTATTATTTTGGTATTTGAATTTAAAACAAAAAAAAAAAAGAAATAATAAGAAAAAAACAAAAACCTATGCATTTTAGACGTTAACAAATATACCAAACATTTTTACACTAAGAAACTACTATCGTTTACAAGGATTATTATTATTCTGATGGATATTTTTGTGTTCTTTGAGGAGGGGTATTTATTAAGGCTAGGTTCCTTCACGGGAAACTTCCATAACTGTTCCAAAATTTAAACAGAAGACACGACACATGAACTTCTAAAACTCCAAACTATCCTACTTTTCAGTTTTTATTTTTGAATAGAAACCGAATTTTTTATTAAAAAAATCCGAATTAGATTAAGAGTTATGGAAGTTCAAGATGTGTTGGATGTGAGGAATGTTTGAATTGAAGGTGAACCCAGTTATAGAAGTTCATTCGTGTTGGATCCATGGTAAATTTATTGCATTTCTTAGCATTATATTGAAGACTAAAGGCAAATAAATTCTTGCTTTCCACAGCGGACAGTAACTCGTCGTACGAGGGCAGCTCCCGGAGGCGCAGAAGGCAGAAGAACAACAATGGCCCCAGTAACAGTGAGTAGAAGAAGCTTCCTTTTTTGGGCTATCCAAGCTTACCATTAATCTCTTCTCTCAGCAAACGGTGCTGTGGCCAATAACAACAACAAACCCCAGTCGCAGCAGCAACAGCAGCAGCCACAACAACAGGCGCCATCTGCTGCGCCAAACAGTAAGGCGGCGGTGAACGTTGGCGAGGCCAGCAAACAGAATAGTGGCAATGCGAATGCCGTGAGCGGTGCGAACAAGTCGAAGGATACGTCGCGCAACGGCGACAAGCAGCAGGCGGCCCCTCAGCAGCAGCAACAGCAGCCGCAGCAAACACCGCAGCCACAGCCTCAGCAGCAACAGCAAGCGCCACAGCAGCAGCAACAGCAGCCGAAACCGCGACGCAACAATAAGAATCGCAACAATCACACGGAGTCCGGCCAGCAGCAGCAGCAGCAGCTGACGGAGAACGTGAAGAAAGAGGGTCTGGTCAATGGCACGTCCTAAACTGCAGCGACAAGTAGCAGCAGCCACTCAACAACTAACAAAAACAACAAAAGGAAGAACCACAAAGAATGCACATCGTTCGCAGGATGAAACAACGTTGTATGCGTAGCTGGCAGTTAAACAAAATATTCATGTTATGCCACATTTCAGAACTCACATACACACACACACCAACACCCACACCCACAGATTCAAACATCAACAGACACCCTACACTCAAACAAATTACTAGAAACCACAACATGAACAACAGAAACTAACCATTTGTTTGAATAATACGAGTAACTATAAAAAAGAAAAACGATAATTTAATATACATGGAAAATGTAACAAATGTAAAAGCATATACTAACACTCCCATAAGCACACACACCCCATACACCACATACACTGTTCGAAATTTACACAAACAAAACAAAAGATAAAAAAAAGAAATAAAAGAAATTTCATGCCTAGGCTTATAATTTCGATTGAAACTAAAAAACAAGCTTCAATAACAATCAAAATGAATTATATTTATGTATAAAACAAATTCAAAGGCAATTAGCAAGCAAATCGAACGAATTGAAGGGAAACATTGAATATGTAAACTACAACTTAAACTCTAATCCGGGCAATTAGCGTAGTTTTTCAAATGAAAAAAATCTAAAACTAAACAAAAAAAAAACATAAAAAATACGACGGAACGGCGCTTTTAAAGCGCCGACATGTCGACTTGAAAAGTTTCTAGTTATATGCATATTATATAATAAAAGAAAACAATATAATTGCATTTTTTGTTTTGGTTAAATAATTTTAATTAAGTCCATCATCGAGGTTTTGTGTACAATTCGAGCATCCAACATCCTAATCGCCATGGCAGTTTTTCATTATTTTTCAATAATTATTTTTGTATTATTATTGTTTAGTGGCATGATGGCTCTTTTGGAAGTTGCATTCAAAACCGACAAAGTAAACGAACGCGGCTCAGTTCAAAAGCCAGAACCAACAATTTTAAACATTTTTGTTTGACTTTGGCTTTTGCACCGTTACATTGTTTAGTTTGTTTATTTGGAAAATCCTCTCTTATTTTTATAATGTTGTATTTATTTACTATTATTATAAACAACACATCGACATCTAAACACACATACTACTCTCATCTGCACACTCCATCAACCCATTTACATGCTCGCCCATAAAAGGAAAGAAACGTATTGAATTTGATTTTGTTTTATAATTATATAATTTACTTCGCCAAACCTAAATCGCGTATACTAACTTAGGCCTCTATTAAATACTCTTAAATTATTTAAAGCAACACACAGCGCCGAACATTAAACAACAAAAAAAAACCTTTGAATTTATCCATAATAGAAGCCCTAAAATAATTTGTATTAGTTCAAGCATCAGTAAAGGAGGAAAAATAAAAATAAAATAAAAAATGTAAAGCCGGCATAAACCATTTAAGAACAAAATGAGAACAATTCTTCTGACTTCTTTGGAAGAACAGTGTCAATAAGGTGTAAGAAAAGCAAACAAAACATTTTAAAACATACATATAAAAAAAGAAAAGGATATAATGATAATGCTACCGATAATGATAAATCTAAATAAAAGTAATGTTGTGTAATTCAAATTAAATAAATATAAAACAAACAAAAATCTACAAAAATAAAGCTGAATAAAAAAGTGAACGTAATGATATAAAATGAATAAGAGCAAACAATGTGCGATTTAAAATTATTATTTATATGAAGATGAAATTATAAAGAATAGAAATATAGAAAGTAAATTTTATTAATTTAAAATTTATATATATATAAAAGAAACCAACCTACAAATTATTGTCGTTACTATTTATTTCAATTATTTTTTCAACAATTTTTATTCAAAGTTTAGTTTGCTTATAATTAACTTAATTTATAATTAGTTATATTCATAAACTATATTTTTTGTTGGGTTTGAAGATTTCTAAGGTCCCATCTGAATAGATTTATTTTCTGGTTCCAAGTTCCGCCATTTTGTTAATTATCCTCGTTACTCGTTACTCGCTACTCGCCACGTACTATTCTCCAGAGAAACTCTCTCGATGCTTCGCATTTCGTTACTTTGGGTCCTTTTGTGAGAAGAGCCATCAACGATATTAGCTTGATCTATAGAAAATCCTGCTATAACCATCAGGATTCTTAATAAGTTGCTCTAGCTTGTCGCGGCGGCAGTGAAGATAGTGGCTGTGAATTAATTGCCAAAGAGCACCAGCTACACAACCAGCTAACCACACTGCCAAAGCGCATAGCCAATTGAGGTTATTGAATTATGAGGCACTAATTTCATTAATTCTTCTGAGATATTGATGAGGTGATGATATCTTACCAGTTATTTGAATTGGAATTTAAATATTTGAAGCCTCACCCTCTTGCGGATGTTTGGGTGCAACTCCAACCGAGCTTTTTCAGTTAGCTGGGCGCCACCTTTTGGTCGATGTTGGGGATTTTCCTCTATGCTGCTTTCTATGCTACGTTGCGTGCATGCGACGAAAGCTCTGTGGGGCGTCTGGTGGGAGGTGCTTGGGGTTGGGGCAGCAGCAATCTGCCCCATCACTGCGCTGTAAAATATGCAATTAGCTTTTTTTTATAAAAACTATTTTAGTTTCAGTTTAAAAGAATTTATGAGTTCTCTCGGCCATCAGAATATAAGCCCTCTCAAAGGCCTATATGGCATAAAAATTAAATTGCCAATTATATTAATATATTAAAAAAAAAGAGGTAATAACACTCCAATTATTTTATATATCTAACCCGTTGTGGCTTTGTGGCCAATTATATGCTTGAATAATTAGAGCCACAGAGTTCAAGGTCGTTAGGAGCTTTACTTCGCGGCCCCAAGGTCTTGCAACTCGTACTTTCTGTTTCGTTCCGAGTGCCCTCTCAGTGCAACATTCCGCAGATCAAATAAAACCACAAAATATATTTATTTCTTCATAGAAGACATGCGCATTTTATTGTATTCTTTATTGAGAAACATATTCTTACAATTATGGTAATCTTAAGACTAAACTCATTAAAGTCTAATTATGTTAATAATCAGTTTTTTGAGAAATTATGTCAGTTGTCACACTATCACAAAAATTGCATATATATATATCGTTTGTTTATTCGCATTTTCTTGCATTCGGGAAGATTGTACGTTCTGGAATGTCGTACCAGATAGTGCATTTACAAGCTTCAGAATGTTTCAGTGCAAATGCACTCCTGACACGCAGCCCAAAACCTTCAAAGGATGCATCTTTATTTGCTCTCAGCGTTATATTATTATTTTTTAACTGAAATTATCGCGGCGATTTAAGATTTTTTTTTTTTCGTAGGTCTTGCGGTTGCTTGCGATTATTATTGGATTTGACAGAACCAAAACGAGGTAGAAACGAGGTAGAAGGTGGATAGGTGGCTGGTGGGATATCCAAAAATCAAATAAAACTCAAACACATGCAGAAGAAAAGTGCGGTGAGAATAAAAAGTTCGAGTCGTCGAGTACAATGAACCAGAAACTGAATCCAGAGCGACTTTAGGCCTCACAAAAAAATGGGGTGATAAGCAATCGCAGGTGCCAAGGTGCGCCGCTGATAGTGATAAGCCAGCAACGTCGGCAACGGATCGATTTCGGGGCAAGAAAGTATAGCCGGGTGGGGACTGAAAAACTGGGTCGATGTGGATCACCGATTGCCTGATTGATCGCCGATCGGTTATACAAGTCATTTGTATGTCACCAAACTGCGATTCGGCCTAAGCTTTCATTTCATTTCATTTATGATTGCGCCATGTAAGTTGGTTGGGAATACGAGCTAGGTGGCCCCTTTAGGTTCTCCCAGGGGTAGATAAGATAAGATTGGTCAAAATTTAATCCAATACCACGGGTGGGTAAAAGAAAATTTCTCTAATAGGAACTAGGAAATGTATCCAATGCTATCTGGAGCAGAGATGGCTGCTAAATGGGCGCAGTTTCGGCCAATGCAGCCTTCAATTTCGACTTGCTTGGCTGCTTTTTGCATGACTCTAGGTGCGGCGCATAAACACAAAATAAATCCAAAACGAGGCCAAAACATTGAGCAGGCATTAGGCTCAAACAAGTAAAAATAAATACAAAAATCGAACGTGGCCAGCCGCGGTGAAGAACTGCATGGAAGTGACAACACTGCGTATGCTTGATGTGTCATCTGGGCAGGGGCTTGGGTATATACTATATAGACTGGAATATCTGACAGCTAATAAACAGTTTCAGCTTCTACAAATTCATACTGAGTAGCCACTTAATCTGCTAGTCTGTATATTATTTTTTTTTTTAAATCGCGTGCCAGTGCACAGTGTGCGTTTGAGTGTGCATCTGTGTGTGTTCTAATTTCGAAAGAACAAGAGCTCGGCAATTAAATAAATTATTGTTCATTTGTGTCACAATGTGTGTGAGCGATTATACTCGACTTTGTATGTTATGTTTGGATGTGGAAGTGTTGTGTTTGCTCACTTAGGTGTATCGATAAATGAAAAGCTAGCTCATGAGCTTAAAAAGCGTTAACTGAATAAAGAAACAAAATGCGTTTCCATGTTCCTGTCAAATGGTTTCGGTTGTGTTTCCATGTGCGTTAAATGGGTTACATGCTAGACCTGACGGTTTAACAAAAAAAAAAAAACAATTTCTAAAACGCCCCGAAAACATCTAGCCCCCCTATCTTATTCCGATTGCCCCCACCGCCGGCCCCCTTTTGAGCTCTTTGCTCCTCTTTATGGCCCACTTAGTGGTTCAGTTATAATTTCATTAGGCAAATGCTGAGCATTTTTCATTAGCACTTCATGAGCCCTCGGGCCCCCCTTCCTGGCCTCGTGTTGTTGGCCAACACGTTTTACTTTTATCTGGGTCATAAAAGCTGCCTCTGCCACTGCCACTGCCGGCACAGGCCGAGTTTCAAAGAAGTTGTCGTCACCGGAAGTGACCCGAAGTGTTGCAAAACCCAAAACAGCGGTACCATAATTTCTACTGGAATAAATTACTGTTTGGCCAGGCCAAGAAAAATGTTTAATTTTATTCAGAAAGTGACTATTGAAGTCAAAGTACTCCGACAAAGTGTATTCCCCAAAAAAGAGAACGTCGGCTTCCCCTTTATTTTTTGTCGTTCAACTCAATGGGTCGCATGATCGGCAAAACACGCACACCAACTGTGGCACTTATTATCTGCTAAATACACACCCATACACCCAGAATGCCACAACTACAACCACAAGTGCATACAACACATGAGCAAACGCACGCGCGCACACGCAACAGGCCTAAGAACGCTGCTCGGAGTACGCTGCGTATACGTAATCAAAGACGCGGAATGCCTGCCTGTTTTGAATCTTTATCTCTAGACGAAACACAACAACAGCCAGACACTACCAAAAAAATATAAAGAAAAAGAAAAAGACGGCCCTAGTCTGACTGGTCGAATTTTATGAATGATTTGATACTTTTCGGGCGTTTTTTCGTCAGTTTTTCTGTGAAATTTCATTGGGAAGGCAAACACACTCCTCGCCTGGCAACAGCGATTAGATTCATTAGCTGGAAGTAAGAAATTCCATAAATTTATCTATCTCTCTCGGGCTATTTCGCTTTCCGTCACCATTTACGTGGCTGCCCCAGCGGCATTTATAAATAACAGAGGCCCCAACAATTGACGCAGCTAACTAATGACGAACGATGTTGAAGAAAAAGAGTATTTTTTTTGGCTTTTGCTGTTTTTTATGGCGATTTTGTCTAAAATTA